TGGTCCCGGAGTCACTCGCTTTCCCAACAAAAAAAGATGTGCAATGGTGTCATTGTGTGTACATCATAGTTGTTCAACAAAGTGTGTGTATCCATCCATATATATATATATATATATGTGTGTGTGTGTGTGTGTATATTGTATTATACGTATGTGTGTGTATCTCAAATGAAATATTTACCCAATGTTTTTTAAATATATATAAATATATTTATAAAATATTATATATATATATATATATATATAAAGTTTTTCAATCCCTCAGTCTCCCTGGGGAGTTAGTACCAGAACTTTGTGGATGCTCAAATCCTGGATGCATAATTACCTTATATAAAATAGAATGTAACTTGTACACATTCTTCTCTATATTTCAAGTCATTTCTAGATGACTATAATACCAAACACAGCATGAATGCTATGTAAACAGCTGTTATGCTGTATTATATAAGAAATAATAAGAAAAGGTGTGCACATGTTCAGTTCAGATGCAGATGCATTTTTTCAAATGCTTTTTTTTTCTTTTTTGGTACTGGGGATTGAACTCAGGGGCACTCAACCACAGAGCCACATCCCCATCCCTATTTTATATTTTATTTAGAGACAGGGTTTCACTGAGTTGCTGAGGCTGGCTTTGAATTTTCAGTTCTCCTGTCTCAGCCTCCCAAGCTGCTAGGATTATAGGCATGCAGGCTTTGAATAGTTTTGATGCATGCATGATACATGGTAGGGAGATATGGATAATAAATACATAAACCAATACTAATTTTAAGTAGTGATAAGTCCTAGGAAGGAAAGAAAGTAGAATAATGTGACACAGTGCAGTGGTGTGTTAAGCTGATGATGGTTTCAGAACAGGCCTTTCCAGGGGCATGACCATTGAATTGGAACTTGTGATAAAAAGGAAGCAAAAATGCACAGATCCAGGGTAGCAGTGTGAGAGCACTCCACGCAGATGGCAGATGGAATAGCCTTTGGTGGATGTGAACTGAGAAATGGAGGAATGTAGATGGGCCAGGGAGCCAGAAGAAGAGCAATTGAGAGGAGACAGAACTGACAAAGCTTCATATGACCATGAGGAGAAGCTTATCCTGACTCTAACTACAACTGAGAGAAACTTTCATATGGTTCAAACCAAGGAACCATGTGATGTGATTTCTGTTTTAAAACAGAATGCTCTGTGGAAAATAGAAGCAAGGGTAAAAGCAGAGGCAATTTGGGAGGTGGAGGGAAGAATTTGCAAGAGCACCACTACTTTGGCAGCCATTAATATATAGTTGAGAAAACAGCAAATTAAAACAATTATAAATTTACTGAGGCAATTCCAAAAGTGTCTGAGTGAGTTTGGGCAACTGGAGAAACCTGTTTTAAGGGTGCATCTTAATCAGTAACAGATTTGCCCAGGCTCGTGGGCCAGCAGAGCTGTCTACCCCATAATGGTACAGGAGAGCACAGGGCCTACCTCATAAAACCAAGTGGTGTAACACTTAAAGAAGGCAGATTCCTTTTCATTTTTAGTTAAGGTAAAGTTGAAGAATAACCAGAATCTGTGTCAGCCCTAGATATCTCAGGGCTGAGATAACTTCCTGTTATATGGTTGCCTGGTCCTATCACAAAAACTAAGTGTAACAAAGCAAGGATTAATCTCCAAAATACTGTGCTGTGAAATAACCCTTACACAAAAGGGCAATGCTGTGCAATTCCATTCATATGAAGTTCTAAAATAGGCAAACTGCTGTGGAGTGAAAACAAGTCACAGGATTGCCTCTGGTGTGTGGAGCAAGGCCTGGCTGGGAAAGAGGATGAAGGTGTCTGTGATGTTCTCTATCATAACAGGAGATTAGGGTGCACAAGTGAACACATTTGTTAAAACTTATGAAATGCTAGACTTCAGATTAATCTATTCACAGTTTGTGGATGATCCCTTGAAAACAAGAACTGTAAACTGACATTGAACTGTGGTCAGTGATGGACCAAGGTGAAATCCACTGATATTTGTACCTGACTTTAAAATGCATCCAAAAAAAATCAGATAGATGGATAGACACTTGATAAAGTGAATATACGTTGTTTAAAAGTTGCATCTTAATCAGTAACAGATTTGCCCAGGCTTGTGGGCCAGGAGAGTGGTCTTCCCCATAATAATACATAAGGATGTTCACAGTACAATTCTATCAGCTTTTCTTTGTATTTATAAATCTTTATAATAAAATTTGAGGACCAAAAGCTTGGGGCTTTGACTACCTGAGTCACAGGACCTGTTCTTGATTCAGTAGAATTTGTCTTCAGGTTTGCAAGAGATGGAAAAAGCCACTAGCATTTTATGAAACTTGATATATACAAATAAAATTGTATGGTTTTCAATGAATAGACCTAAAGTAATATTGAAGTTCTCTGAATAAATTGCTTTAAAAACTAAATTTTAAGTGCATGTTTTAAGAAATTCTTAAAGTATAATGTGTTCCTTTTGCTTTCTTTTTTTTTTCTGATTTGATAAATATTCTGCAAAGCAACTTAGTAAGCCAATGTGCAGATCCAAACATCCCACTTTAGACACTTAGGACAGTGTACTAGGGCACCGAGGTCCTCTAACATCGGTCCAGGTGCATGTTATAGTATATTAGTGTCACATTATCAGTAATGAACATTCTGTAGTTTTAAACTTTTTTCCCATATTTTATTGTTGTATTATAACTATACATAATGGTGGGATTTGTTGTAGCATATACATGCATGCACACAGTATACAACTGTGAACTTTAAGAAAAGAAAGCTGAAAGCTCTTATCTATTCATTCAATCTTCAAAACAATTGGCAGTTCAGGATTATTTTGGTGTTTTGAGACAGCCTAATTCAAAAAACTCAGGGGAATGTTTCAAGGTCACACAATAAGGAAGTAATAAAACAGACTTTCTCCTGGACTAATTAAAAATCTCTTACTCTTTGCAGTTTTGTCTAAAATCAGACTAATTAGTTCATGATTATTATTTTTTAATAATTTTATTTGTTTCAGTGGTCTCACATTTCTCATAGCTTTATATTTGGTATAAAGATGGAGCCAAGATTATGCTTTGTTTCAATTAGGAAACCTATACCAATCTGTGTGCATGTATGTGTGTAGGTGTGAAACCTATACCAATATTTGTGTATGGGTGGGCGGGTGTGTACACGCATGTACCCTCACTGGGGATCAAACCCAGGGCCTCAAGCATACTAAATATGCTCCACCTCAGCCCCTAGAGCAGTTCATTCTGATCATCATCCTAGGTTTCACTCATATGCTGGCATCCTCTTTGGATGTATAGGAAGAGAAAGCTGTAGAAGAAACAGCATTTTAATGACTTTTGATACTTGAGTATATTAGCCCTGGGATAATATTCAAGAACGACTTGTCTTTATTGAATCAGTATATCAACTCTCTCTCAACACCTGTCTGCTTGGGTAGAATAGTTATATGATCATTCCAGGTTGAGGTTACAGTCAAAGTAGCCCGAGTTTCTGGGTAAAAACAGATGAGCGACATTGGATTGAGCCAAAATTATAGTTGAAAGAACTATGCAATCATCCTGCCTTTGCAGATAGGAGATAGGGACTGAGTTCCTTTGTGAAAGTTTTCACTACTATTGAATTTGAATGAGAGCATAGAAGGGAAAAATAGGGAAATCCCCACAGAGTTAAAAAGGATGTGAAGATTGCATCATAGCTAATGTTTGTATAAATGCCTTGGGTTGATTATGTGGTGTTTGAACATGTGCTCATGGCTGTGGCTCCGTCATGCAAAGGCAGACACATGATGCTCTTAGAATAATTCCCATAGGGAGGGAACAAAGAAACCTATAAAATAGAAGTATATATTTTAAAAGTTCCTGAAGAAAGTACCAGTGCAGTATTGACTTTGGCCTTGCTCTGTGGACTGCCACCTGGTTGTCCAGTCAGTGCCTTTACAGATGAAGAAGGACCTGGCCAGGTCTGATTATAATGTCCAAAGCCAGAGGCCATATTTCTTCACTGATGATAATTTTGGTTCAAACATAGTCCCTTATTAATAAGCTCCCTGCTTCAAAAGCCCCAAGCCTCTTTGTTTTGTTAGGCTTGCCGAAACACGCCTTTCAGAGAGCTAGGTTTGTAAATATCACTTTATTATAATCCTCTCCTTTGCTTTTAAATGTAAGCTTCCAAGTGCATTTCTACAGTCTAACTTTGGCCTCTAATTTAAAATGTTATCTTGGATTAAAATCTGACATCCTGAAACACTAAGGAGTGAAAAGTGCCCGGGTTGTATATTGGCCATTGATGCAAAGCAATTGCGCATATGCTTGTGCTCTGTGGAATGACAGAGTGTATAAGCCAGAGGAACATGCTTGTCTATCCCCAAGTGTTCTTAAAAGTTGTGTCTTCTTTTTTGTTATTTTCTAACTATTCAATTATTTCTTTGATTTTTTTCTTTGCTGCATTTGTATAGAGGAATATTTTTAATCTCCACCCAGATGAGTTTTTCAATTATGTGCTTGTGATTGACTTTAGATCTATAGTGTGATGGTCAGAAAATATTGTCTAGTGTATGTTATGTTTGTGCACATTCTTTGCACACACAATGTGCATGCTAACTTTTTGCAAACTAAAATGTTCATTTTATAATTATTAACTCAACCTTGTAATTATTAAATTCCTTATGAAATTTTCTTTTTGACTACTGAACTCTTATAGAATTTTCTTGTCTTAAAGACTTTCATAGAAGTTCATATATTCCCATTGAATTTTAAACATTTTTTACATATTTTAATATAATGAAATCCCATGCAGTATAGAGATGCATTTCCTCTTACATTGAATTACACCTTACATAAGCTTTAACATCTTTTATCACATTGGTCTTAAAGTATCCTTTGATCAGAATTAATATTGTAAATCACTAAAGCTTAGAAAGTTAGTAAATATTTATATTAGTTTTGTTACTTCAAAGAATTTTATGACATATCTTTTTTTTCCTTTATTCCAGTTTGCCAAGGCACAAGTAACAAGCTCACCCAGTTGGGCACTTTTGAAGATCACTTTCTGAGCCTCCAGAGGATGTTCAATAACTGTGAAGTGGTCCTGGGGAACTTGGAAATTACCTACGTGCAAAAGAATTATGACCTTTCCTTCTTAAAGGTTTGTTTGGATGAATTTCTTATCCTACCCAAATATGATAGAAGTTCATATTAGCAGAAAACAGCTAGACAGAATTTAGCTTGAAGCATGTTTACTTTTCATTGTGGTGGTTCCAAGTCCAAGGGAGCTATAGATGAGATTTTTGTGAGAGTCTCCTTTACTGTCTTGGATCAGGTTATAGCTAAAAAAGAATATTGGAGAGAAACAGCCTGGAACTCCACTGTCACCACAGATTCTGACATTAATCACTAGCCATTGCTTCAGTCATGGTATGCTGGCATATCAGGTCTTCTGAAAAATAATGAAAATAGCTGGGTATGGAGGCGCTCACCTGTAATCCCAGTGGCTCGGGAGGCTGAGGCAGGAGGATTACAAGTTCAAAGCCAGCCTCAGCAACTTAGTGAGGTGCTAAGCAACTCAGCAAGACCCTGTCTCTAAATAAAATATTTTAAAAAAGGGCTGGGGATGTGGCTCAGTGATTGAGCATGCCTGGGTTTAATCCTTAGTTACCCCTCTCCAAAAAAAAAATAATAAGTATAAAAATCCTGGCTTTATAGTACGTGCCTTTATCCTTGGCATAAATATTCTTACCATAGCCAATTTCAAGCTCCCAAGAGATTATAACCAGTTCTCACAATTCCTAAATATTTTACAGTAAGCTTAGAGTTTGATGGTACTTAAATTTTGATTGGATTTGTCTCGCCACCTTCTGGCTGGCCAGCCTGCCTGCCTACCTGCCTTCTTTCCTTCCTTTCTTCCTCTTTCCTTCTCACCCCACCCCACCTCTCGAGCTCTCCTTCCCTCCCTCTTTTACTTTTTTTGGTAAGAAATTATATGAGAGCTGGGCACTGTGGCGCACACCTGTAATCCCAGCAGCTTGGAAGGCTGAGACAGAAGGATTGAGAGTTCAAAGACAGCCGCAGGAAAAAGCAAGGCTGCTGAGCAACTCAGTGAGACCCTGTCTCTAAATAAAACACAAAAAGGGGCAGGGATGTGACCCAGTGGTTGAGTGCATCCGAGTTCAATCCCTGGTACAGAAAAAAGAAAGAAAGAAAGAAATTATGAGATAGATACAAAGTAGTTTTTTAAAATTTTCATTTTCATCTGAAGTGTTAAGTTGCAGTACTCCTAATTAATGCACATTGCTCTTCATTACAGGCTTCAAAACCCAAAGTGGAGGGATGGGATCATTTCAAATCCTGTCACTTCTTTGCTCAGTTGTAATCATTTATATATCTTACATTTGTCAACCACTCATGTGTATTATGGTGCAGTTAGGTGCCCTGGAACGTCTGGACCCATTTCAGAACTTGAATTCTTGAACTCTTTGAAACAGAAATAAAATATTGTTGTTTTATCTCATTAGACCATCCAGGAAGTTGCTGGTTATGTACTCATCGCCCTCAACACAGTGGAGAGGATTCCTTTGGAAAACCTGCAGATCATCAGAGGAAATGTGCTCTATGAAAATACTTATGCCTTAGCAGTCCTGTCTAACTACGGTGCAAATAAAACTGGACTAAGGGAGCTGCCCATGAGAAACTTACAGGGTGAGAGGCCAGGGGGATCATGGGTGTGTGTAAATGCAGAAGGTGATTCTGATTGGCACTCAATAACTGTCACATTTTCCAATTCCACCATTTATTCATGAAATACACATGTATTGCATGCCAACTGTTTACAGGATCCAGAATCTTAGTGGAAGTTACTAAGGAGAAGGTAGATAATGTAATAGAAAGGGAAGATTTCAGCCAGTTACCCATTCTTCCATGGATGTGGAAAAATATCCGGAGGGTTAGGAAGAAATGGCAAATATTCTGGGTAAAAGAATCTTTTTTTATTCCTGCACTGGAATAGAGAGTTCATGCATGTGGGGAAGAAATAAACTGCCAGCCTTCTGAACTAGATCTCAGGTATATAAGGACATACAGTAATTCTCCCTCATACTCGGGGTGGGGGGATATATTCCAAACCTCCAGTAAATGCCCATCATCTCTGTAGCACCAAAATGCCTATTTATACTGTTTTTGTCCTATATATACATACCTCTGGCAGTTTAATTTATAAATTGGGCATAATAAGAGATTAACACCATTAATGAATAATAACAGAACACTATAATAAAGTTACATGAATATAATCTTGTTCTCTCTCTCTCTCTCTCTCTCTCTCTCTCTCTCAAGTATCTTATTGAATAAGCAATAAGTTTGTTACCTAGTTTGCAATGGGATTTGAAACTTATGTAAAGCAAAATTGCTGATAAGGAGGTATTAGTGTACATTAAAAACCCTACCCACATTTGATGCGGTCTCAAAAGTAGTGCTGTTATATGGAAAAATCAGGTATAAGTTAAGGACAAGGAATGAAGATTTGATAGAAGTTTGAATTCTTGTAAGAAGGATACTTGGGAGGCTCCTGGGAGAGGAAACCGGAGATGGTAGAAGTGAGGGTAAATTGACTTTAAAAAAAAAAAAGTGGAGATAAAAATAGACAACAATTGTGCCCTACCGCATGGCAGGCATGTTAAATCAGTAACTGCATTTACTGCCCACATCGCTCTTTCAAAGTGGGTGTTACATGCAGTCGTTTTACAAATACAGAAATGGCAGTAAATTAACTGTCCCAAGGCCCCATGCTAGTAAACAGAGAAGCCAGGGATGGCCCCAAATCACTGTCCCCATATTTCATCCTTCCTGTGTGGTTCTGATGGGGACATAGAGCTGAAAGGGAAAGGAGCAAGATAAGAAGAGGGGTGTGGAGCAGAGGAGGCCCTGTTTGGAATGACAGGAGCCTAGCAGGTGTGCAGAGCTGGAGTGTGAGCCACACATTCAAAGCCGAGAATGGAAACAGCTAGGCAATCATCTCCTTGGTTCCTTCATTTACCATCCTATAAATTGCCTTAAAAATTCCCACCCACAGCTTTACTGCTCGGAGCACACACGCTCATGTTTCTGTGTTTATTCTAGCACTCGTGGTGTTTTACTTGCATTTTGTGAAGTGACTGATTCGGTACATTCAGTGTGCCTCACTCCTCACGCCTGTCTTGCCTCACATGTGTCATGAAACAAGGCCCCAGCGGGTGTGAGTCTGGTTCCTGGAGCCAGACTGTCTGGGTTCCAGCCCGGGCTCTATCACTCACTAAGCAGAGACTCTGGAGCACGTTCTTTCAGCTCCCTGTGCCTCACCTTCAGAAATGTGGGCTGCATACTCACCACAATAGTTAGGACTGTTGAGAAAATTAAGTGACTCACTATCGTCAAAGCATCTGCTTTAGTGAGTCCTTGGTATTATTCTTACTTTGAAACCAAGGTTGGATTGTACAGATCCAGATTATTTAATATAGCATTATTAACAGTCAACCTAGAGCCTGCCACAGAATGAGCATTCATGAATGTGAAAAGTAAAAATAAATATCTGGCTGCCTCCTGACTGTCTTTCTTTTCGAAGCTACAAGACAGTGGCACCTGATGTCCCCTTCACCTTTCTTACCCCTTATTTCTCCCTATCACTGACAATAGGTTTCTCTAAGGCCCTGTTTTAGACTCTGCTTTTTCTGCACTCACAGCCCCTTCGTCTTTTGTCCTGAGTGTCCCTGCAGCCTTGGCATCCCCATCTTGTGTTTTCAAATCTGGCCTCTCAGTTTCATCCATCTGTACATGGCTCTCTCATGAGGCACGTGATGCACTTGGTGACCCTCTGGTCATCTCTGACTTCCATATCAGGCTCTGCGGTTTGGCCTTTCCTGATCTCCCAGGTTTCCTCCTGCAATTGCTTTATACTCTTCCCTCTGTTGAGAAAACTCTGTACCCGAGGCCTTCTGTGCCTTTGCTTTCAAGTCTTCTTTCTGCAAGAGCCTTTCTTCCTTATTCCTATAAAAATAAGTGTGTAAATACATTCTGGAAATCTCATTCTTTCCAGCAGCCTCTGAGTTCTTCCCCAGGAGAATCCTTTCTTTTCAGCACTGGTACTTTGTGCACATGTTGTATCCATTCCCTGCCCACGGAATGCTGAGCACTAAGATTTTTTTTTTCCCTCTACATTTAAATGATAGTCATTGGACCATTGTGAGGATTAATGAAGATAATATTTATACACCAACTAGCACAGTACCCAGCCTCATCATCATGGTCTCCCGGGGGCACAGGACCATTAAACAGAACCATTAATCTGTTTTATTGGTGTGTCAGTCCTCAAAAAGAAGCCAGCAGGTCTAATTCATCTTTGCAGACTCCACAGCATCTGTTCAGTGTTTTGTACACAAAAGTCATTTTCAGAAATATTTATGTTTAAATGTTATCAATGCAGCACTCTCTCTTTGTCCAGGCTTGAAATTTTTTCCATCCCCAACTTTTTCATGCCCTCTCATGGATTCCTTGAAACAATTGTACAGTATAGTCTTGTGCATCTCTCATGTCTCTGGTGTCCACCTGTGGCTTTTTCATACATACAGTTCTTACTCCATAACAGGCGCACACCCTTTCCTCATGATATCCTCCAGAGCCACCTGGGAGCATGTTAGGTGAAGGTTGGCCACTCTATCCTGCCATCCTGAGTCTATAATACCTGTGACTGCCACGGGCTCTTCCTGCCCTGTCTGCTCCTTCACCTCTCCAATCAGTCCTAATCCAGCTTGATCAGATCCCAGAACCATTACTGAACAGTTATCATTCATTCTGTGCTCACTGACTAACCATTCCCTCCCTGCTATATTTCTAAACTTCTAATTATTATTCAAAGCCCAGGTCAGGAGAAATCCTAACTCCTCCATAGCACTATCATAAACTGAGTTTTTGTCTGCCCCCAGCACAGCTTCCATAGGACTGACCATTTGCACACTGGCATCTTTCTAATGGAAAATAAATTGTAAAAAATGTGTGCATGCATCAGGTGAATTTAAAGGAGATGGAAAGTTTGCTTACTGTAGTTCTGTTCATGTAGAAATCCTGCATGGTGCCGTGCGGTTCAGCAATAACCCTGTCCTCTGCAACGTGGAAAGCATCCAGTGGCGGGATATCGTCGACAACGACTTTATGAGCAATATGTCAATGGACTTGCAGAACCGCCTGGGCAGCTGTAAGTGTTGCAAGATCTTTCTCTTGGCTTCCAGCTTCCATGGTGGGTAGAGCTGTTCAATGCTGGAGTTGGGGAGACAGCATGTTTACTGTTAAGTCATATTATACTAAAACAAAAATAAGTAATAAACACATTATCTGCCTACCAGAAGAGCTTTTACATAAGACAGAGGTAAAAGTCTACTTTTCGTGTTGCCAGGTAGCACACCTTCTCATGCAGAGCCTGAACCCTTGAAGAGCCCTTGAACAGAATTACTGGTTGCAGGAAGAACTGTAGTGGTAGCCTTTAGTCCTGGCTTGAGGCTTCTCCCATCCTGCCTCATGGAGATTTACCAACCTCTTGTGTGCTACCGAATTACTACTGAGTCCTACAGTGGTACCCCAGCCCTCTTGACCCCTTGACTTCTGCCCTCTGGATTATGACTATAGGCACTCCCACATGGAACCACAGGCAAAATTGGGTACAGCCCACAGGGAGGAAGTTTGTAAATATTTCCCTGAATTCTTCTGACCTCATCCCTGCCCTGTTCATCAGTAAAGCAGCTTTGTGAGGGAGGGCCTGGCAGGAGACCAGGCCTAAGGTCACGGCTACACCCCTTGCCCATTGCCAAGGCCATGTGGTAAACTCTGAAAGACACATGCTTACACTTACCAAGCTCCCCTGAGTTTGATCCCCTTCCTGATTCCCCCTGGTGTTTCAACCCTTTAAAATAAGAAGGGATGACCACTTCCTGCATCTCTGTTTCCCTACAGCTGTTCAGTAGAAGCATGTTTATTTTTGGTCTCAAAATGTAGCTGACACAACTCTTCAAAATCATCAGCTGGATGTTCTTTTCTGTTTCTATTTGCTTCGTGTTTATTGATTGACTGGTTGTGATGGAATATTCATAATATAAAATTTATTACCTTAACCATTTTTAAATGTAAACTTCAATGACATTATGCATCCATGTCGTGATGTCGCCATTACCACCGTGTACTGGCAGAACTCCTTTCATCTTGCAAAGCTGAAATTATGTATCCATTAATCAATAACTCCTGTTTTCCCTTCCTCCCTATGCCCCAGCCTAGGTAGCCCTCAATCTAATTTCTGTCTTAATGAGGTTGACTACTCTAGGTACAGGTGGGATCGCACAGTATTTGTCCTTTTGTATCTGACTTATTTCACTTAGCATAATGTCCTCAAGGGCCATCCATGTTGTAGCATGTGTCAAAATTTTCTTCCTTTATATGACCAAATGATATTCCATAATATACTAATATCACATTTATCTTTTAACTCCCTAACCAATGCTACTATGAAAATGGATATTGAGCTCTTCCATTTTATAAATGTATCATTCTACCAGATACCCAACATATCACCCATTGTGTTTGCAATAAACTGAAAGTTTTTATTTTAGAATGCAAATTTTTGTACTATTCATGAGACCAAAGTTAGAATTTCCTCAGCTATATGAGGAAATATAGGGAGGTCAAATTGTTCAAATTTATAACAAACAAAAAAAAACTTACAAACAAAGGTAATGGATTTGCCATGAATAAGATCAGACAGCCTGCAATGGTACACCTGTACTCACTGCCATCATGATTGTAAGGAAGATCCATCAAGAAGCATTGGGAAAAAAAAATGATGGGTGGACAGGTTCATGAAATAATTAGAGTCAAATATGATGACACTGTAAGCTATAAATCAATATGGTGTTGATTAAAGAAACGTTGTGTTATCTTTCCACTACTATAATAAAATACCTGAGATAATCAACTTAAAAGAGGAAAGGGTTTTTTTAACTCAGAATTTTGAAGGTTTTAGTCCATGGTAAGTTGGTCTCAAAGCTTTTGGGCCTGTGCGAAGGCAGCACATCATGGCAGAAGTAGATGGCAGAGGAAGCAAAAGAAAAAGAAAGAAAAGGGGCAAGAATCCCAATATTCCTTTCAAGTACATTTTCCCCAGTTTCCCCAGTGACCAAACTTCTCACTAGGCCCCACCTTTTAAACTTTCCAGTTTCCCAAAAGCACCAACCTGGGGATTAATCCTTTAAAATATGGGTTTGTGAAAATCATTTCAGATCCAAAATATAGCAATAATCACATAAACCTAACTAAATCAAAAGTCCATAAGGAAATGGCATTTCAAGTAAAAATTGATTCAATAAATTGTTATGAAATTACTTAATGATTAGGGAGAAATATAGAATTGATAGAGCTGTAAAGGATTTTTGTTTCTGTTTTGTTTTAAGACAAACTAGGTATATTAGGTTAGTCATACAGGAAAGTACAAAATCACCTTACACCTATAGCTTCCTCATTACCTACTGCCAATCTCCTTGTGGAAAGTGGACTCCTCCCTTAACCATTGCTTTGCAATACACACATTCCTCCTGAGAACTTATCTCATTTCATTTTTACAAAAAAAAAAAAAAAATCCTGTGAGATGAGTCAAGTATTTTAAGGGCAAAACATCTGAAATTCAGAAAAGTCAAACTATGTACCCCAGCTTTGTGCTTTTGTTAATAAAGTTGGGAATTTGAGGTTAGAGTGAATAATTATCTTGAAAGGAAAATAAATTCAGACAAAAAAGAAAGAAAATAAATTCATCACCCATTCCATACCTCAAGATAAATTCCAAATATATTAAATATATATAATAAATTATTGAACATGGATGTAAGTGGTAGAAGGAAACATAAATATTAATATTTATAATAACACTTTCAAGAAAATCCAAAGTTAGATAACATAAAAGAAAATTTTCATGTAAAAACATGTAATGAAAATATTATATGACATCTGATTGCCACAAAGGAAATCCTGACAGGATGACCCACCACCACCAAAATGGGCTAAGGACTTGAGCAGGTGCATGAGCATGCCCCCACACATATACACACATGTACACACACTTTTACAAAATAGGTGGCCAAGAAATGAGGTAAAATTTTATTTCTTACAATAGTAAAAAGGTCAAAAAAAATAAGGAAGTATAATTTTTGCTTTTGCTAAATATTTGAATTTCTTTCAATTTTATATGCATGGGTCAATCAGGGTACAGGGGCACAGAAATTCTTATATTCTTCTCTAGACATATAAATTAATAAGACAGGGAGAGAATTTTGGCAGTATATTTCCAAAGCTTATTTAAAGCCTTCATATCCATGACGGTTGGCTATCATGGCTGAGAATAAGAGAGGAAATAATTAGGGGAGTGAAAATCATAAGAGATGTAGAAAAGTATTTTATACAGGAATATTTCTTGAAACCTTATTTATAATAAATCTTGGAAACAAACTATATATCAAAAATAAGAGATTGATTGGATAAGTTATGATTCAGCCATGCTTCCAAAATCATGCTAGGTAGAAGGATATTTAAAGGCATGAAAAAGTTGTCATGTGTTTTTTAAGATAACAAAGCAATGCATAGTGTGATATTGATTCTTATATAGATACATATTTAAATTTCCTTATTGATTGCCTCTTAATGATTCTTATTTCTTCTTTTTTGCTTTTCTACTATACACATTTCATATAGTGGGAATGCATCTAATTTTTGTCACAGAGGGTTAATAATACAATTATAAACAGACCTTGAATTCATTGGCTGGAAAATGTTTCCCTGTTACCTGAAAGATCATTTTTATTTTAAATATATTTCTTTTATAAACCTATTACAGGTTATAATCAAAATTGGAAGATGTTGATGTGTAGGGTGAAAAGTAACGGTAACTTCATCTCACTGTACAGACAGAGCTGCTTGTAACACATTTCTTTTGCATTTGCTTTTTCTTCTTTTTGTTTCTCTGTTTCCTTCCCTCTGTCTTTGTGTTCACAACATATCACACACACCATCCATGTAGTGCTTGGCCTTAACATCTTTCATGACTCCAGGGAGTGGGCTCCAGCATTGCATTAATTTCTGTCACTCCTGGTGGCAATGGTAGAAATTGTCACTTGTTTTAGATGGGTCTCCTGGTTCACTAGACTTGGCAAATTGTCACCTCTTCCATTTGCAACCTAAATTCTTACAGCAGCTAAAATCTTCCTGAGAATAGGAGACATTGGAACACATATTACCTCCTTTCGATTATGATATGTTTATACTAAAAGATATCTGCATGGGGCTGGGGTTGTAACTAAGAGTGTAGTTCTCATCTAACATTCATGAAACTCCAGGGTTGGTTGGTTGGTTGGTTGATTTTGGTACTAGGGATTGAGTACAGGGGTGCTTTACCACTGAGTTACATCCCCATTCCTTTTTACTTTTTATTTTGAGTCAGTATCTTTCTATGTTGCTGAGGGTCTTGGTAAGTTGCTGAGGCTGGCCTCAAATTTGTGATCCTCCTGCTCAACCAAGTCACTACTATTACAGGCATGTAATACCTGTAATCCCAGTGAGGCCCCAGTTTTGATCTCCAGCAACACACACACAGAGATGTTCCCATGAGTGTCCCCTTTTTAACAAATTTCGTGATCAACCTGTTTTTTTCTCTGTTGATTTCACAATCTGGGCTTAAGATTTCTCAGTGCTGATAAAAAATAAAATATGGCTAAGGAGATTAAAAAGTCTTTGTACGTATAATTTGTAATTGAACAATTATAAAAACTGATCAATTGCAAAAATTTCTGGATAGTAGCTTGTAAATTATTAGCTTAGCTTTGAGATAATTAACATAGTAGTATACACTATTGACATGTTTATATTCAAATACCCAAAGATGACTGATCCACTCATTCACTCATGACCACACATGGCAAAGATATAGTAGGTACATACTTAGGACTCCACCAGATTAGACACCTCGATTCTGTTGTGAAAGATGCCAGAAAATCCCCCAAGCCTATGCAAATTGGAACTCTGGACCTTAGTTTCATTTAAATTCTCCTTTATGTGCCTGTGAAAAATTAGTAATTGCTCTCTGCCTCAGTTTCCATAGATGAAATGTAAATAAAATCAGTATATGATTCATTTTTTATTTCTTATGGGGATCTTTTAAATCATCCTACAAACTAGCCAAAGAATAAGAAGTTTTAAAGTTATTCCTTATTTCTAGAACATTATCCAGGGCCATGGGAAAGGTATTATCAGTTTCTTATCATTTGTTCACTTTTGCTGAGATATGAATTTATAATGTTTATGTTTCAGGCCAAAAGTGTGATCCAAGCTGTCCCAATGGAAGCTGCTGGGGCGCAGGAGAGGAAAACTGCCAGAAATGTAAGTCAGTCAGTGAAGAAGGTCAATGTATGACCCCCCCTCCCCACCACCCATGAGCATATCCCCAAGTCAAGGTGTGACCACCCTCCCAACCTGGATTCAGGGGATTGGATTTGTTTTCCCTTCAGAGACTATAGGCCACTCCCTGACCACAGGGCCAGATGTTGTCAGTTTCATGAATGACAGTCTTGCAAATCTCACTGTATGTGCTTACTCCAGTGTGGGCTATTTTGGGCCACTTCAGTCTTTTATAAATATGTGAAAGCCAGCCACCTATGTCCTAGTCATTTCTTCTGGACAACATGGTTGTTCGCACATTTTCCTGAGAATCAGAAACTCATCCTCTCCCTCTGCCTTCGTTATTCCTGGGTATCCTGCTACCCAGAAGTTCGAACAATGTCTCTTAAGAGAGTTTTTGTGTGAATCCTACTTCAGGAAAGAATTTAATTTACCTGATCCTGGTTGTGGGCTCACATACTCAGTGTGGCCAAGGACTCTGGGGACTTGTCAGGTTCAAAATTGACCATCTGTCCCTAAATTTCATTGTGACATGGTTGCTGCCTCCCCTGAAATACTTCTTCCTGCCAAGTGCTTATGTTTTGTGTGCAGACACAAAGACTCAGTCTGACTAATGTCTAATTATTAAGAAGGTCTTGATTGATCAGTTCTTCTAAGCAATTAAAAATAAATAAATAAATAAAAGGTACCGTGAGGCAGGTCATGACAGGATTGAGTTTGGCTGAACATGAATGCCTGAGATCTTGAATCACAGAATCACCACATCACTGTATTCATCATTTCTCCCCACTTTTTCCATTACCTTTGCAAGTGCTCTTTAATTTTCCCTGGGAAATGATGTTTGCCTTCCCCTTGACTCAGCTCTCAGGTGATCTTTATTCTTTTTCAGTGACCAAGATCATCTGTGCCCAGCAGTGTTCAGGGCGATGCCGTGGCAAGTCCCCCAGTGACTGCTGTCACAACCAGTGTGCAGCTGGCTGCACGGGGCCCCGGGAGAGCGACTGCCTGGTAAGACCAAGCTTCCCTTCTGCTTCTTTTGGAATTGGTCCACAACTGCTGTACACTGCCACCCCCAACACCAACCATGACAGGGGCTTCCTGTGGGAGACGTTTGTGGATTAATATTGGCAATCACAGATATAGCATAATAGCATAATACCCTTGGCATTCATCACCAGGAACTAGGCACAGAATAAGCACTAAATACTGTATATGTGTTATTGCCAATAAAAATAGCATCACACTGTTTATTGTTTCCCTTGATACTGTGAGATCCCTATGCTAGTCAGCTTTCTGTTACTATGAACAAAGTACCTGACAAGAACAATTTAGAGAAGAATAAGTTTGTTCTGGACTCACAGTTTCAGTCCATGGCTGGCCAGCTACATTGCTCTGGGGCAAGGTGAGGCAGAACATCACTGTGGAAGGGTAGTAGAAGAAAACTGCTTATCTCATGGTATCCAGGAAGTAGAGGGAGAGAGGAAGGAGCCAGGGGGACAAGATATAAAGTGACTCACCTCCTCTAGCCATGTCCCACCTGCCTACAGTGATAACCCAGTACAGCAATTCTTTAAAATTATTAATCCATCAAATGGATTAATCCATTTTTAGGTTAAAAATCTCATAATTGCATCATTTAACCTCCTTCATTCCCACAAGAGCTTTTGGGGGACACCTCTTATCCAAACCAAAACAGTCTCCTAAGGGATCCATCCAGAGCTTTCCTGATCTTCAATAGTATGATATTTGGGTCTCCTGTCCCTCATCCTTCTCTTCTTTCTACCACAGTTCCAATGCCTCTTAGTCTACACCCTACCCCTAAGGGGTCTTGAAGCATTTCACTCTTATCTCTGCTACTATAGATAACTTACAAAAGCCTTGTCACCCGTGTACACTGTGGTATTTCATTTCAGAAGTCCTAGACACATCTGGCCTGGAGGTTACAATTCCCAGGGTCAATACTCAAGTGTAGTGAGATCTGCTCAGACTCCAGAAAGAGGCCCACCCTAAGCTGGTCTTTCAGTGGTTTCAACAAAGGGAAGATTCTGAAATTCCAGAGACTGGGCCCAACCCTAGGGATTTCAAACTGGTTGGTCTGGGGTGGGCCAGTTCCAATGGAAGTTTTCAGGGAAAATAACCCTTGTTACATAGCACCTTTCCTAGTGAAGTCTTTCTTCAGTTTATCCATAAATTTTAAAATGCATCCTCGAGTATTCTTTATAAAGGAAATACAATGTACATTGAATTTCAAAACAATGGTTATCACTAAAATGTCTTAACTCTTGTCATTTGAAAATTAATAGAGATATATTTTCTCTGATCATAATTTGTAAACTATTATAGCCAGGACAATCTGTTTAAGAAAAATCATATTCTTGAGAGAAAGTTCTGACTCTACCAAAGGTCATTACTAGATTTTTCTACTCTGATTGAACACCTGAGCACTGAGCTTTCTAAGCCTTTCTATCCTGAAGACAAAACACCTTGCTTCCTTGATTTGGGGCACTGAGTATCCTTGCCCAGCTCCATCAGGCCTGTGTCCCTCCTGTGCAGGTCTGCCGCAAGTTCCGAGATGAAGCAACATGCAAGGACACCTGTCCACCACTTATGCTGTACAACCCCACCACATACCAGATGGATGTCAACCCCGAGGGGAAGTATAGCTTCGGTGCCACCTGTGTGAAGAAGTGTCCCCGTGAGTGCCTCACCTGGGAAACCCTTTGAGTTGTCAGGCATCCATATCCTCTTTTGTCTTCTACAGGAATCCTTGAGCTCCGTGGGGGGTTCAGGTACTGCCTTGGGTGCTCTTTGGGGCTCTGTGTTTGCCTTGTTCTCAGGCGGGTGAACACATGCTGATCAGGTGTGGAGGTGAAGCCCAGATGAGTGCCAAGGAGCACTAAGGCTTCAGGCTCTGCTTATGGGGCAGCGTCGTCTGTATTGGTTCTAGTGTCTATGGTGGCTCAACTGCATAACAGGAAACACACCTGTCACTCTGTCCCCCAAAAATAAAGGCCAGCTGCAGTAGTCCAGAGTGTTCGGTTGTCTGATTAGCACAAAACCACAGTTCTTTGGGTCATTTCATTGTTTTGTTCTTATACCAACCAGGTATTTAACAGACCTAATTACAGAGAAGAGCAGATCTGCAGCCTTCTTAAGTGGTTCAAATTATGGTGAAATCATTCCTCTTGGAAGTATTGCAGAAGCTTTTTTTTTTTTTTTTTATTTCATTTGTTTGGGTTTGGGTTTTGCTTATTTATATTTGCATCCCACTGGTGGCTGCAGGGAAAGGGTGACCTGAATTATTTCTGAACAGAGAAAGTGAAACAATGTCTAATTAAAGGGCTCTTGATTTCTAGAAAGGAGATTAGGGGACAATGTAAAAGAACAACTATGAAAGGCAGAAATTACCCTGCTGGATTCGTGTGCATGAAAAATTTCAAACTCTGTACAGAAAAAAAAATTCTATGCAAATAGAATAATAGACCATTGTAATGTAAATTGCAAGGTAAGATAAAGAAAACGTTGCCACAATTATGACATACATAGGATCTAACTTTTAATAGAGCTTTAAAAAATCCATGAAAACATTCAGGGCCTAAGATAACAAGAGCAACAGTTTACAGGAAAATTACCAATGTCCAGTAAATATTTTTTTTGGTGGATCTACTGTAGGAATATAGAGAGTTTCTTTAAAAATAGTGATGACATTAATTTTAAAGAAATAAATTATGTGTGTGAAGGGAAATGGAGGAAAGGACTGAGGTATCTCTCTGGATGCAAAACTTACTTATCTAGCCTTTGTACCTCCTTGCAAAGGGACACGCAGCTACATCAGAAAGATGGATGGGCAAAGCTGCAGGAATGAAATGCAGCCTCAAATGCAGCCAGTTTTGTGGGAGAATGGTTGTGTTTAGGTTTACAGATCTAATAAAGATTCAAGATTTAAGTCTAAGTCCTGAAGATGAAGCCCACGGAGAACTATGGAGAAAACTGAGCTTCAAATCAATGCTTTCACCTGATGAGGATTGTTTTCCGGCTATGATGAAGCATCTGTATTTCTCCATATTGCAGTCTCGAAAGCTATTGAACTCAGTTCTCTTTCTGTTTGTAGCCTTTCCTTCTCTGTGCTCAAATAAATTCAACTCAAGGATCAGGGACCTTGTACCACAGGACGTAGGATGTCCCTGGGAGGCCCAGGACACCTGCTGCTGCCTTTGCCACCTTCCTTTCTTTGTCTCTTTCTCAGGGAACTATGTGGTGACAGATCATGGCTCCTGTGTCCGTGCCTGTGGTTCTGACAGCTATGAAATGGAGGAGGATGGTGTCCGCAAGTGTAAGAAGTGTGAAGGGCCGTGTCGCAAAGGTAGGAGCCTGCAGCGTGTGTGTGGTCAGGGCTTCCTCCCTTACCCTGAGGCTGGCCACTATTGTCCACCTCCACGGGGACACATCCTACTCTTCTAATAATAATAAAATATATTGTTTCTTTAAAGTATAAGATAAATCTGGGAAGCCAGGTTAGGGTAACAGTAGGCATGGAAGATTTGGTCAGGGGAGTTCTCTGGTTAGAGTTGTGCTCAGTGGCAGCACCTGTGGCCCAGGTGTGCTATGGTGGGCAAAAAAGGGGAGGGGCAAGAGTCTTTGGGAGCCTTTGGACTATACTACTCAAGTGGGAAAGCATGAGGAGAAGGATTCAAGCCCAGTGAGGGCTGTCATAAGACCAGCATCTCCTTTCACCATTGTAACTCCCAAGCTTGCATGTCCTGGTACCTAGCAGGCTTCCCCTCAGTGTTTGTCAAATGAACGAACGATAGCATGGTGGGAGGGGTTCTCAGGGCAGGAATTCCCTTTCTGCTACCCTCTGCCTGTGAAACTCCAGTTCATTTTAATTCATCAAATGTGAATATAACAAACATCTCTCTTAACAGTTTGTAACGGAATAGGAATTGGTGAATTTAAAGACACACTTTCCATAAATGCTACAAACATAAAGCACTTCAAAAACTGCACTTCTATCAGTGGAGATCTTCATATCCTGCCAGTGGCATTTAGAGGGTAAGTAATAGTTAGGTTACTTGTGCAGAGAAAAGAAAATCTGCTGTTTTAACTGGTAAAGACAGATAATTAATAATCATTCTGCCATTTCTTTCAGGGACTCCTTCACACGTACTCCTCCTCTAGATCCAAAGGAACTGGATATTCTAAAAACCGTAAAGGAAATAACAGGTTTGTGCTGCCATATCCTAGGAGCACAAATGGGACATCAGAGTTTTATAGGGAACTTTGGTCAATCTCTTTTTCCCCTGGCATAAAAACATTTCTTCTGAGATTCACCACCATCAATTGCTTCTTTGATACTTTTCAAAAATTCAGTTTCCCCTACATATGAATATTTGAAGCCATGGCCGGGGTCACTCACAACTTGGTGTGAACATGTTTAATTCCTTGTTCTCCCCAGGTCAGACCAGCCCCCTTGATGGGCCAGGAACCGCACTGGGTGGAGGGAAGGGAAGATCGAGAAGATGAGGGACAGTAGGAGCTCTCAAGCCCTATAAGCTAAACTTTAAATCCCTGCTTGGCCTCTGGCATACCTTGGGTCCATGATTGATATCTGAGCTCCACTTTCTTCATCTCTACAAAGGGAATAGTTAGACCCAAAGCAAGGTTTGTTTAAAATTGGAACTAAATAAGAAAAATATTTGAAATTTGTTGTCTGTAAGGTAGGAGTCCACTTGGGGGGATCAGATATAAAGCCCCCAAAGGGCCATCAGAGCTGTTTCACAGCCTAGTAGGTGGGAGTGGGGCAGTAGAAGAGATGTAGCAGGGGAGTGGAATTTTGCCTTGACTTTCATCTATTCATATGTTCATGTCCTCAGTGAAGAGGATAAGAGCACAATCCAAACAAATATTCACTATCCTGGGAGAGTTTAATGAGAATCCTACAATAATGGTTCATACAAAAAGAAATAGGAAAAAAAAAAAGAAAGGAAGGAAGAAAAGAAAATCTAAATGGTACATGTCTGAGTCTTTATTCTGCCTTCTAGGGTTTTTGCTGATTCAAGCTTGGCCTGAAAACAGGACTGACCTCCATGCTTTTGAGAACCTAGAAATCATACGTGGCAGGACAAAGCAACAGTAAGTGGACCACAGCCAAAGCCTGATAGATTACTCTCTGTTAATTTAGTTTGAAATTAGACTTACACGAGAGTTTCCACACTAGTACAAAGACTTCCCATATATATCCTTCACCCAGCTTTCCTTAAGGTTAACAAAGTATTGCATGAGCAGGTACAAGGATCAAAATGAAAAAGTTGACATTGTTAACTAAATTACAGGCTTTATTGGGCTTACCAGTTTTTCCATGAATCTCTCTCACTGTTCACTCCAACTTCTCACACTGCAGTTACCCCTTATATCTTCTTAGTCTCCTCCAATCTGTGTTAATTCCTGTGTCTTACCATGTCTTTGATGTCCTTGACTCTCTGAAAAGTACAGGCTAGATGACATTCATGCAATGTCACTGCAAATGACCTGCGTCCAAGGCAAGCCCATTTCCACAATGGAGAGTCCTCCCTCTAAGCAACATTGGGTAGGCTGACAAGGAAATTGCCATGCGTCATTCCTACTTGGCTATGGCTCTCAGCATCTCCCCCCTTCTGATTAATTAAACAACAAGCAATGTGGCTTAGGGACCGTGCCTGTTAAATTGTCCAATTCAACATATGGTCCTGAAAAGGTCGGGCGAACGTCAGAGGAAAAGACCACCAAGAGACTGTCTCATGCAACAGCAAAGGGTTTATTGGGGGTCCAGCATGCTGGGGCTCAGAGCTCACTTCAGAGGAGCAAAGAACAAAGAGCCCCTTGAACAGAGCTTATATACATTCTTTGAAAAGGGCAGGGACTTCACATACAGCATAACAAATCACCTCACACCGCGGGAAAGTCAAACAACAACTCTAAAACATGATTAGCACATTCACTGACGGGAACAAGTTAGATAGGGGTGATTGGTCAATACAAAAGGGGTATTCGTTTGAACTGATTGGTTTAAGCCAAGAGGGGTGTACGTGCTGAACTACATGGTTTCCCAACAGGTTATCAACTACCATAAACTACTGGGAGGGTTATCTGGCATCCCAGGTATTTCCCTGTCTCATGCTGATTGGTGGCTGCTAGGGGGTTGCTATGGATCCCCACTTAGCCTGACTGAGTCAGGGACACCTGGCGCAGCAGATCTCTCCTGTAGATAAACAACTTAGCAGGGTGGGAATGTGCCTAGGAGTGCTCTGTGGGTTTTTCCAAGGACAAAGGCCATGTCCCTTCCTTGGACAGCTTTGCTCTGAGATAGAGGCTGGTTTTTCAGTCCTTACCCGTCATCAGATGATCTGACCTCTAGGCGTCAGCCTCCTGTCTTCGGTTGGTACCACTGCAATTGGATCATACCCGTCACTGACTACCAGTCCAGCATACAGCCATACTTGTGGATAGGCCTATGCACCAGTGGGGGGGGTGAGGTTCTTTGCCTCACCTCTGTTGGCCCCCAAATTTTAGACCATCACTAGCAGAAGGGAAGAGGATACAGAAATGCCACAACACCAAGCCAATTGACGGCTCCTTTGGAAAAATTGTATCACTGGTGACACCATCAGCAAAGATATGCCAGCACTACCACAATTCGCTGCACCAACAGATAGATCACAATGCATACAAGTGATACATAGTCCAGGCAAGTTCTGCAAGCAGTTCAAAGCGGAGGAATCTATCAATATGTCCATTTCTTCCCAAAATAAATCAACTCCTTGAATGAGCATTACTTGTTGAGTTATTATTCATTGATGCATCAGTTTATACAGTTTACTGTGATAGCTATCAAAGAAGCTGTAGTTTGGTTTTATCTTTGTCTTCACCGGCACTGGGATGAAGATAGGAATTCTGGCAATGATGCTAAAAAGAAATTATGTAACATTACATTATCCTGAACAGAATTATTAAATATAATGAAAAGGAAAGGTGAAAGTAAACAAACAGATCTGTTAACCTCCTTTAAAAACAATCCTTAACAGCTGTTTACCTAATTTAAATTAAACCATTTAAATCACGTGAATAAAAAAAAAAAAAGACCCAGCCTTGCCCTTGGTGTCTTGGCAGGGAGAGAGTTCCTAGCAGTAGTGGATATAGGTATCTTGCACAGGGCCTTCTGCTTCTCAGGAGCCATGTTGTAGGAAAAGAGGGAAAGGAAAGGAGAAAAGATGGGGAGGAGAAGAACAGGGAGAGAAGGGCTGCCAAATTATCCTTTAAACCTTTGCCACTTAACACTTTAATTAGAAGACTCTTCACTTAAGTCTTGTTTCAACTGGTCTGTTCCACATCCTCTTGTCCAGTGAGCTTCCTACAAGTGCAGATTTTTCCCCTGTGGTTTCTAGTCAGTCACAAACAGCAATCCAAGTTTCCCCTGAACAGTGCAAGATCTTCTGTGCTCCAGCCTCATCCACCCTCCACACCATCTACCAGTCCTCCCCACCTGTACATTTATGTGCAACAGGCCACGACTCTCAGCATCCAACCCAGGTGGTTTGGAACTTCTTCCTTTCATCTCAATCTCTTTCATCCAATTGATGCACACATATTGAATACCTTGTAAAGTCCTAGCATAAAGGAAAATATCAGGGGTCCTGCTCTCCAGGTGACAGCCTCAAGCATCATGTCCCTCCTTTTCAGAACTGTTTAAATATTCCATGATTCTGTAATGGCTCTTAGTTTTGCTTCATTCATCTCTCTAGGCTCAAATACTCTGCTTATATGGTTATTTCACTTCTAGATAAAGGGTTCCTTGAGAGTAGGAAACACGTATTTAATCTACATAGAATTTAGCACATAGTACCACAAATATTTGTTCAGTAAGTATATGACTGGGTAACTGGTAGGTGGTTAGATTGATGGATGGACAGACAAACTTATAGCCTTTAAAATACCTTTGGGGTTTTCAGAGGTGAAGCGTGTTTCCAATTTCTAAAAAAAATTAAAGTGTAGTAAATAAAATGTCATGAAGGTATTTATTCAGCTCCCCTTCAAGTCTGTTTCTGAGGTTGAAGATACTAAAGGAATGAGGAACTGGCTTGTCCTTAGAAAAGCTTAAAAAAAACTTCTTGCAGCCAGGTAGTGTGGCACACATCTGTAATCATAGCATCTCAGGAGGTCGAGGCAGGAGGATCACAAGTTCATACCCAGCCTTAGCAACTTAGCAAGTCCCTAAGCAACTTTAGAAAGACCCTGTCTCAAAATAAAACATTAAAAAAAAAAAAAAGGCTGGGGATGTGGCTCATTGGTAAAGTATCCCTGGGTTTAATCCGTGGTGCCAAAAAAATAAACTACTTACCCACTTGCAGTTTCCAAAACTATAATGTATACCTTTCACAACATAACTTACAATCATTGGAAGATGGTAGTAAATCTAAGTGGTCCTGAACAACAAAATAAAGTTTTTAGTGATATGTTGTTTGCATCATTGTTCACAAGGTTATTTTTCTTTTCCCCAATTTAGTGGTCAGTTTTCTCTAGCAGTTGTTGGCCTGAACATAACATCCTTGGGATTACGCTCCCTGAAGGAGATAAGTGATGGAGATGTGATAATTTCAGGAAACCGAAATTTGTGCTATGCAAACACAATAAACTGGAAAAAACTATTTGGGACTTCCAGTCAGAAAACCAAAATTATAAACAACAGAGATCAAAAAGACTGCAGTAAGTGATCAGTTTTCATTTCAATTGTGCAAATGATTCCTGTGGGTCAGTTTTTTTTAGGTGGAATATTGAAGGACCATTCCCAAACATTTGTATTACTTTTTTTATTCCTTAAGAAGCAAATGAAATGTGTATATTCCAAATTGTGAAGATACGATGTGAAATTCACCAGAATTACCTCGAGATCATTCTCATTTCATAGAATAATTTGCTCTTAAGTTTAGGCTACCGATTATTTGCAATTTAAAAAAACTAAATTTAACCAGGTGTAGTGGCACATGCCTGTAATCCCAGCAGCTCGAGAGGCTGAGACAGGGTGATCGTGAGTTCAAAGTCAGACTCAGCAACAGCGAGGCACTTAACAACTCAGTGAGACCCTGTCTCTAAATAAAATACAAAATAGGGCTGGGATGTGGTTCTGTGGTTGAGTGCCCCTGAGTTCAATCCCTAGTACCAAAAAAACAAACAAAAAAACCATTAAATTCAGTATTACTTATGTTATACTTTAGCTGTAGGTTACTCCTGCTCATTTCAGCCTCTGATGACTATACCTAGGCATGATAGCACACATGGACAGACATGCACCTGGGCATACACATACACACAGGAATGGGATGATATTTCACAGTAACATTTTCTATTCTGATTTTATCTTCATACGTTAGCTTTTAAGCTGGCAAATGCACCCAGCCTTGTGGTGAGACCTGGCCTTATGCAGAAGCAGATCTAAGTTCCAGTGCTGGTCTGACCCTCCTGGGCTTTGAGAACTTGGCCAATTAGTTTTGTAGATTTTTTACTTTCTTACCTATAAAATGGTGATTCCTATTACACAGTTGCTCATGAAAGAATTAAATGAAAATTCTGCATTATAAAGTTCTCTGGTCATGGTACCTAGCACCCAGCATTGACTATAACCTTCCCTGTTATTTCTGTCAGCTGTGAGAACAAACTACCACCAAGTCTGGTCCAGGGTACTCTTGACACCCAGCAGGGAGGAGGGAGCCTGCAGATGGCCTTGGTGCCTACTCCTTTCAATAGCCCCCAGCTGGTCTGTGTAGAGCACATAGCCTCCTTCCAAAGTGTTGTGTCTTCTTCTCCCTCTGGTCCTTATTCTGTAACTGACTCCTGTGACTCACTGTGTCTCCACAGAGAACAGAGGCCACTTCTGTAATCCCTTGTGCTCATCTGAGGGCTGCTGGGGCCCTGAGCCCAGAGACTGCGTCTCCTGCCAAAATGTCAGCCGAGGCAAGGAGTGTGTAGAGAAGTGCAACATTCTGGAGGGGTGAGATGCTGTTCTTTCATTACCCTTGTCTTGATCAAATCAGTCACAGGGTTGTTGTTATAGATTTTGATTATTCAGATTGATTCTCTTCCTTTCTTTCTTTTTCCTTTGTTGTTACTGTTGTTATCTTTTTAGTTTGTTTGCTTGTGTGTTAATTTTTTGCTAAACTGTTCATCATGATATGAAGGAAGCATTTTTTTTTTCATTATTAACTAATCCAACCCAATACTTTATGGAATTTTTTTCCTGGAAATAGTGTATATTTTTCTAAGTTGTGCAATGTTCCTAAGGCAAATAGAACAGTCACAGGTTGTTCCAGTGGCCAAGAGAATGTCATTGGTCCCTTCTTTACCATTCACTTTTTCTGGTGTGTCAAAATCCATTAATGCAAATCATATTTCCTGGTTGATTTTTGTTTTATGTGCCCCCATATGCAGTGAACATTGAACCATAGAAATAGCTTTAAATATAACTAGAGATAAGGAAAGAAATAATCTGTATGATGTTTGTCTAATTTCATTGCAATCAATACAAAGATACTCTGTGAATCTCAAGATTAATGTAAAACTTTGAATGACTAGAAGTAATGACTAAAACAAATTAATTGGAAAGTCAAATTGAAGGATAGATAAGCAGATAAATTAAAAAAACTTAAAGAGAAAGGGAGAGTTTGATAGAGAAGAGCCATAGGAAGTACAGGTGGGATGTAGGAAATTTTCCTTCCTGTTTCACATTAGGCATAGACCACAGCTTGGATCCCAAAATACTCAGAGACAGGATGGGAAGACCAAATTCAATGCAGAAGAGTCCTTTAGCTGCTAGACTCAGAATGATTTGCATTACTGAGAGTGAGTGCTCTTTCAAATAAGAAACTGGTGCAGTCCTTATTGCCACAAATAGACTCTCATGTGAGTTTTTAGTTTTCAAGTCTCTTTTAAGGGACAAGGTAATTAAAATAATCATATCCCGTGACCCATGCCTTTCCACTAGTGTGGAGAATCCTGGTGTTCAGCAGTACCCTTTGGAAGACTGTCTCCCTAGCAGGGGATTTGACCCAGAGATGAAGCACAGAAAAACACCACTGTGTCATAGTTTAAATGATGCCATTTGTCTAAAGGAGGTCCCATGACATATTTTGTTGGGTGTAAACAGTCCTTGTTTTCCGCTTGGAGTGAAGATTTAGAGTTAATTCCAGGGAGATTTCAGTCTTCATAACAGCTCTCACACTATTTGTCTTTTCATTCAAGCATCAGCTTCTTGCTATTATCTACAAATCTTGAGGAAGGTTGAAAATAGTACAAGCAAAATTTTTCATACCTGTTTTCAACACGTACCATTTTGAGTAATAGCCATTAAGCTAGTTGGCTACTCCTCCTTCCTTTACCTACAGTAAGCTTTTCTATCCATATTAATTTAAATATTCATAGAGCTGTTATTAGAGGGAGGAGCCTCATTAAACCACTTTTTCTCTTCATTTTTGGCTTGCTAACCTAATATATCAGAAACTAGGTTTTTGGAAAAACACAGGGAAGATATCTTTAGTGTAAATGAAGATTGTATGTTTATTTTTCTGGGAGAAGATGACCAAAGATTCAGTTGATACAGTCATTGTAATATATATAGAATAGTCTCTGAGTCCCAACTCTTTGACCTTTATCTAAAACTTTTCTGCCTTACTGGGAGCAGTGATTTGTGTCACCTGTTAGAGTCCTATCCACCTGCATCTGGAAGAGCCTCTCAGGGGATAGCATCATCAGTTTTCTTTTTCCTTCTCTCAGGGAGCCCAGGGAGTTTGTGGAGAATTCCGAGTGCATCCAGTGCCATCCGGAATGTCTGCCCCAGACCATGAACATAACCTGCACAGGCCGGGTAAGGAGTCCCTCTGCTGTTATGCACTCTCCTTTCACAGGAGCAGAAACAGTGGTAACTTGCATTTCCTTAACTGGAAGGATAACCATCCAAGCCCAGCTCCCAGAGAAGAAATGGGCAAGATCTGTAAGCTGTGACAGTGTGGCTGTGTGTGAGTGACGTATCACACCTGTGACAACCTTTACCTTTCCACTCCAGCACCCCAAGCACATTTAACCATGACCATTTCTTCACCAGAGCACAGGAAAGCTGTGGTAGACTTTGGTTCATTCTCAGCCACTTTTCACTTTTTTTTTTTTTTGCTACTGGGGACCAAACCCATGGGTGCTCTACCACTGAGCTGCACACCCTGCCCTTTTTAAAAAGCCTCTCAGTGGATGGCATCATCAGTTTCCTTGTTCTTTCTCTCAGGGAGCCCAGGGAGTTTGGGGAGAATTATAAGTGCATCCAGTGCCTTCCAGAATGTCTGCCCCAGTCCATGAACATAATTTGCACATAACGTTTTTATTTATTTGTTTTAACTTGGGGATAGCTTCTCACTAAGTTGCCCAGGCTGACTACAAACTTATGATCCTCCTGCCTCCGCCCCCACAAGTCACTGGGATTACAGCTGTACACCACCATGCCAGGCTACTTTTCACCATTTCTGACATGTGCAATTCATCTCTTTCTCATTTTAACCAAATATCATAAAATTATTTTTTAACATTCAGTTTAACTAAGTTGAAGAACCTTAAAAGAAACTTATAGCAAAACTTTTTAAAACTTGCAGTTTTAAATCTACATCTTCAATAGTAATCTTTTTAAGCTCACAAATGAGACATCAGGTCCCTCTAATACCAAATATCCCAATGTTGTTAATTCTTGATTATATATATTTGGATTTGAGCTTCAGTAGCCACATCTAAATTTAGTAAATGAAAATATTTTTTCAAAAGTTGTCCCTGCATCAGGCAGAGGTTAATAAGACTGTGTTAGATAGAGATCTAGGCTGTCAACATGGCTGGTTACAAAGTAAACCATTGGTTGATAGGTTTACAGGATGCTGAGTTAAATTTTCATCATTCTAATAGAATGGTTGGTGATATTGACTTAGTCTTCCAGCTGTTCTAGGTCTAAGTACACTCAGCCTTTTAGAGGACAAAACTGGGACATTAGAGAGAAAAGCCCAGAGGAAAACCCTTCTTTTGTCTCATTCTCATTGCCTTATGAAGTGTGAGACACCCAATTCAAGCAGGAGCTAAGGCAGGAGGAATACTGGAGCTCAGGAGTTTAAAACTAGCCTGGGCAACACAGCAAGATCCTGTGAGGGGAAAGAAGGGGAGGAGAACTGGGCAAGAAGGCCCTGGGTTCTATCCCTAGCACCACAAAAATAAATAAACAAACATAGAGAAAAATCAAGATGGTTTTGACCTGGAAAGATGCCTATGATGAGTCAAGTAAAATGCAACAAAGTATATCATTTCTTTTATGTCTATGTATGTTACGTGCATTTGAAGTCAGAAAACTACACTGAACTTTACAGTGTGGTCATATCAAGCAAGAGCATTTACAGAACTTGTTTTCTGATATATGAAAACTTCTATATATCATTTTGGTTCACACTAAATATCTTAAGTAAAAAGTTATTCCCATTTTGAGAAAGAAAGAGACATACATAAATATTCTTCTGTGCTTTGGTGCAGGGACCAGACAACTGCATAAAGTGTGCCCACTACATTGATGGCCCCCACTGTGTCAAGACCTGCCCAGCTGGAATCATGGGAGAAAACAACACCCTGGTCTGGAAGTATGCAGATGCCAACCGTGTCTGCCACCTATGCCATCCAAACTGCACTTATGGGTGAGTGGGGCTTGGATGCCCATAACAGAATGTAGAATCAGAAAATGTTTCCTAACTTGCAAATTTACATGTTGAAAACACCTCCCAAATCTCCTGGCCATGGATTATAGAGGTTTCTATCAATCCATTACACAGGTGTTGGTCTTATATCCATTTTAGCAGCAGCAGCATGATTGAGTAGGTCTTGATACAGATAGGAATATCTCTTTGTCTCTCAGGATGTCACTTGGAGACTCTGTTCCACAGTGCTTCCTGTCCAAACAAGAGAGACTAAGTGATAGGTAGAAAGAGCTGAGTTCTCAACAGCTGTCACCTCTGCCTCTCTCTAGGTTACTAGGGTCCCTGTGTGCATTGATTTTTTTTTTTTTTTTGGTGTTTTGCAATTACATTGTCTGGAATATTGCTTACAAGTACTATCTTATAACTAGTCGATTATTAAGCTGTTACCAATTTTGCTGCAATCAGCAGAAGTATTTTGATTGTATGTATCTTGTTTACTGGAATAATAAATTTGGCAATCAAACTGAACTACATCTGGCAATCAAAAAGAAGTTGAGTTGCCATCTATACCATTTCATGTTTCCTTGTATTTCTTAAAATCTTCAATCTTGTTTGGCCCTATTCCTCTTTCTCTCTCTAGATCCATCCAGTATTAGTTGGGTGCCCTTAGGCAGGTGTCATAGATTCTCTGGGCCTCTCTTTATCTTTAAATTGGAATAATAACACAACATACCTAACAGAATTTTTGTAATTATAAGTTAAGATGTCTAGTGTACTTAAAACAGTGCCTAGAACACAGTGAGCACTCGATTAATGAATAGTAGCATGGATGATGGTGGTGGTAATGAAGTGATGGTAACTATGTTGATGACAGTAGCAATGGCAGTGATTGTGATTGAGACAATTATGATGAGTAGTCAGTTCTCTAGGAACACAATCATATCATCCCCCAATGATATTTTAATCTCTTTTTCAAAAGTTTCAAATTGTAGAACTGGGGATGTAGCTCAGTGGTAAAGTGCTTGTCTAACATGCATGAGGCCCTGGGGTCAATCCCCACAACTGCTAAATAAGTAAATAAATAAAAAATTCAGATTGTGTTACATGGGCCAGAATTTCCAGAATACTATCTGACACAATGAAAGTGAACATCAGAGTTTTACATTTGACAGTACGAGAATGGTTGTGTCACAATATTAAGAACATCTGCTGTTAGTTTGAGATACTAATTATCTTGTTAAGGAAATAGTCACCTAAACTATTTTTTTAAACTAGTGAAGTACTATGGAATGGACTTTGAATTTTGCCAAATATCTCTTTGGTCACAATTTAATACTCTTCATATTTTGTCCCTTTTGCCATATCAGCATGCTGGTTATAGTGGCCAATTTGTAAACTCTGCAAAGCATATTATAAATTGTGCTTTGCATAAAAGACCCCAGATAGCCAAAGCAATCATGAGCAAACACATGCTGGAGGCATCTCAATACCTGATTTTCAAAGATATCAAGAGCCACAGAAATAAAAACAGCATGGTATTGCCATAAAAACAGACATGTAGACCCATGGAATAGAACAGAGGATCCAGAAATAAACTTCCACATCTGCAGCCATGTTATTCTTGACAAGTTGCTAAAAACCTATGTTGGATAAAAGAAAGCCTCTTTAACAAATGGTGCTGGGAAAACTGAGAATCTACAAGTAGAAGATTAAAACCAGATCCTTATCTCTCACCCTGTCCAAAAATCAACTCCAAATGGATCAAAGACCTTAATGTAAGAGTTGAAATTTTGAAATTGCTAGAAGAGAATAGAGTGGCAACACTTTAGCATGTAGGTACAGGCAAAGAGGAAATAAGAGCAAGAATTGACAAATGGGATTAAATCAAATTAGAAAGCTTCTACATAGCAAAGAAAGCAATTAACAGAATGAAGAGACAGTCTATGGAACGGGGAAAATATCTTTGCCAGCTATTATCTGACAGAATATTAATGTCCGGAATATATAATGAACTCCAAAAATGATCAACAAGATCGATAATTACCCCAACTAACACAATCAATTACCTGGCGGATGATCTGAACAGACACTTCTCAAATAAAGAAGTACAAATGGCCAATAAACATGGAAAAAAATGCTCAACATCTTTAGCCATTAGAGAAATTCAATCAAGACTACATTGAAATTCCATCTCACCCTAGTTACAACTGCTATTATTATAAAAATTAAAAATAACAAACACTGTTAATGATGTGGAGAAAAAGGAACCTTTATATACTGTTAGTGGGAATGTAAACTAGTAGAGCTGCTATGGAAAACAGTATGGAGGTTCCTCAAAAATATAAAACGAGAGCTACCATATAATCTAGCTATACCACTCCTGCATATATACCAGAAGGAATAAAGTCAGCATCCTGAAGAGATTCCTAACACCCATGTCTATTGTAGCACTATTCATACTTGCCAAGATTTGGAATCAACCTTGGTACACTTCAACAGATAAATGAGTAAAGTGTGATTGATACACACACACACACACACACACAATAGAATATTATTCAGCCGTATAAAACAACAAAACTATGTGATTTGCAGGAAAATGGACAGAACTGAAGACCATCGTGTTAAGCAAAATAAGCCAGATGCAGAAAAACAAACATCACATATTTTTCTCTCATATGTGGAAGCTTAAAAAATAAAACAAAACAAAAACATAAAAAACAATGATGACCTAAAAGTAGATGAGAGACTATTAGCGAAGGGGAAGGGGGGACTCAGGAAACATAAGGAGAGGGGAGGGCAAAAAGAGTGTAGAATGGAGAGTGGATATGATAAAAATATGCTGCATATTAAGTATAGAAATCTTACAATGAAATCCATTCATCTAAAAAATTAATATGTTAATGTTTATAATTTTAACATTTAAAAAATAAATTATGCTTTGCTGTTTTTCACCATCTATTTTTATAAGCAATTTTGGAGCAGATTCTCTACAACAGAACTATGTTAGTGTATTATGTGGAGAAAAAGGAACTCTTAGGCACTGTTAGTATATTTGTACATATTAATTAAATGTGTGTCTTCCTCCTTTATTCTGTGTTTCAGAAATTAGTGCATATATATGTCTCTTTGTCTGTGAATGTGTAATTGTTGCCCTTTGTGGGGATCCAGAAAGTCTTCAGGAGTTGGACTTTTCAGTACATTTACCTAGAAGAATAAGCAGATTTTGAAATGTAGAAAAAAGGAATTTAGTCAAAAATTTCTTTTAAATACTAATGATCATTTATTTTAATATTTTTCTATTTTTTTTCCTGATTCTTGGCATTTTTGTTGGGAGAACATATAATTTTATATGATCTTATTATTACTACCAGTATTTTCTCTCAAAGTCATTAATTACATAGGAATTTCATGATAGAAATAGATGTAACTTCTAAAATATGGAGAAATGTTGATGAGGGTAAAGGAAAATAAGGAAACCTTTCTTTTCCTGAATATTAATAAGGTGCATAGACTTATCAGCACAGTGTTTCTCTAAGTTCTCAGAAAGAGGTATTGCTTTGTCCATATTTATGGGGAAAGAAGTACTTAATGGGGCTCAGTAATCATCTCAACTCATGAACCAGTGGAGTCTGATCCCTCACCATAGCATAGGACCTTGACTGATCCCAAGAGCCACACCCTTCCAGCCATGGCAGGTGTGGCCACCCAGTGCACAGATAGGAATACTGGAAGCATATCCATTTTAAATGGAATCACATTTTCATACCAAGTGGCAAGGTATTCGAGGCTTCACCCATAAATTTGAAATTTTTATCCTTATAAATTAAATTAGATAATATGAAATTTGCCTGCTTTTAAATCATATGCAACAAAAGGTACATGGTAATTTAATTTAAATGTAAATTCCTTACAAAAAAAAGAGAAAAAATTGAGTGGAGGACAGAGAATAATTTTTCTGAGAGAATATAATGATAACCTAATCTGGCCTCTTTGACTTCATATCAGGAATCAAAAGGCAAGAAATGGTATATTCAGCTTTCCCAAAGAGCTCCTAATCTGTGACACTCAAATGGATATGCTTCCAGGATTTCTACCCATGCACTGGGTGGCCACACCTGCCATGGTTGGAAGGGTGTGGCTCTTAGGATCATTCAAGGTCCTGGGCTATGGTGAGGGATCAGACTCCACTGGTTCATGAGTTGAGATGATTACTGAGCCCCATTAAGTGTTTCTTTCTCTCTCGCAGTACCTGTCCTGACTCTATCCTTCAAATGTAAACTGGTCTTTCCCTCTGAGCTTCTTGGTTGTAGCTCCCTGTTAGCAATCTCTGTGGTTTCTTTCCAGTATACTTTCAGAGGCTGCATAAGACCCTGCCTCTTGTCCAAACTGCAATTTCAATCTGCCCTTGCTTAGCATAATGTTCCCACTACATCACATTTGACAATTAAGAGCTGCTGAAAGACATTGTGGTGGGCAAAGGGGGTGGGAGGATATTTTGAACAAGGCCTGTTTTTATCAGTGGCCGGTTCATTACAGAATGCTCTCTATTTTGAGTATCTTAATGTTCCCAGAAGGTAATAGATGGAAATAAGGAGGCTTCCCTGTATATTTCACTGCCTGAAGACACCTGTGTGTTTCATTTATGGGTGAAATCTTGAAGGCGTGGCAGAAGCAAGACTGTTGTACCTGACACTGAGGAAAAATGCAGGAGCCCCAGCCATTAAAACCAAGAAGAGTAGGGTATGGAGATCAGAGCCAATTACCGGCACCTAAGGAATATGGATAGAAAGTGTTTACAACAGTCTAGAGATATTATTCACTCATATCCAAAAGTCTCCCTGGTGCTCTTCACATATATAAACCACAGTGTGATAATCAAATAATGATGGTAATCTGTTCCACTACAATGGGACCCTCACTGCTCAGGAGTAATCTGTAGCGCAGTCCTGTATGTTCTCTGCATAGAGAATGACTCAATTGAATGATCTGGGTGGGGCCAGTGCCTGTCCTGGCTTTCTGTGTCTGTGATCATCACAGTCATCTTCCTGCCTTTCAGACTCATACCTTTTCTTATCTGTCCCTCCAGCATTCCTTTCTGCCTCTCCTTCATGTGGACTACCAGGTTTCTATTATTATACCTCCTATCCAGTGTCTCCCTTAATTTTTTAGGGCTCCTTCCTTTTCTCACATGTTGTCTGTAACCTGATTCCCATCTCAGGAGCAGCCTGTGCTCCATTCCATCACTGCTGGATGATTGTTCAAAGTTCAGCTTTCCTGGGAGGCCAGCAAAGACTCCACACTGCCACCCTATTCCTGCTTCATTATGGCCCCAGTGTATGTGTCTCATGTTGGCTCCCTGCCCTCCCCTATCTATCTTAACATCTACCGCCAGCTATGAGATAGCTGGATCTGTGTCAAAAGTGGACTGTATGTGAAAATATTCCAATAATGACCTGACTGCTTTGTTCAATTCCCCGTCACAAAGCAGACACTCATAAATATTTCCTTCATGGATGAACAAATGAGTCAAATACATACTAAATAAATTAGTAACCACCACCCCAATATTGAGATGCAATGTAATGATTTGAGAGCAATTTGCTGCACGTTGCTTATAAGTTAATTTTTTAAAAATCTCCACAAAACAAATGCCAAAGAGTTAGAATGTATTTGTCTTTTATTGCCCACAGATGTGCTGGACGAGGGCTTCAAGGGTGTACAATAAATGGGTAAGTATCAGTTTGGGATCCAATGGACCGCCTCAAATATTACCAAAAGTCATTTCTGATTGTCTGGGAGCCTTGTCAGTTTCTTAAGCCTTCCCTTAGCCAGCCCAAGGTCCCCAGCAGAAACTGCCTTGCTGATTCCACCTTCCTGTCCCCTATCAACTTTGTTCTTTAGTGGAAGGGATGCAGGAAGGGTTAGGCCAGGGCCTTCTCCATAGGAACTGGTACCCATGGCTAGTCACCTCTTTATGCATACCCCTCTCTGGCTTCAGCAGTTACACCAGTTTTCCTTAATCTTACTATCTCCTAGCTTCTACTCATTTTTTTTTCCCCCACTAAATCAATATTATCACATACCTGTGTTTAAATGACTTTTCTATTAAATGACAAAGATCCAGCTTGGAGGGAATTTTCTTTCTTTGATTTATTTTCAAAACACATTGTCCAACAATGACAAATGGACTTCCTTTGACATTTCAATTCTGATCAGTTTGCCGTTATTGCTGGATGCACTGAGGAAAACAAAATCACAAATTCCTGTTCAGACTTAACTGGGAAAGAGTGGTATCATCAATCAGCATCGTCTAGTGAAGAGTTGGGGAATCATGCACAAAACATCTTTTTGCCATTTCTGAGAAAACTCTAGCCAAACTCCCAAGGAATGGGTGCCATTCTGATTATGTGACAAAATCCCTCCACTTACTGATCCTGTAAGAGTGGTCCACTTTACCCTTTGAATATAGCCCTTGCTGCTTTTTTTTTCTCCTTTTCCCTCTCCCCTTCCCTAACCTAGAGGCAGGGAACCAGATTACTTTATCTGTTCTCCACAGCAAAGAGATGTCACTAGAAGAACTAGGAAGTGACTATCTCCCAAATTAACAAGTGAATTTCAACATAACAAATCAGGCTTTGGGGCCCCCTGTCAGGGCACACCTGGAATGTAGTCTTTGAAGAGTTTCTTTAAAACCCCTGTTTTCTCTGATGGGCAGAATCACAGCCTCTGGAACTGGAGTCCCCTGTGTTTCTCCTTTGCTAGCAAAGCAGTAAACCTCCTTTTTCCTTTTCCTCAAAACTGTATCCTCTTACTAAATTGGCATGAATTGGCACTGGGGACAAGGACCGAGCTTTTGGTAACAAATGTTTTTCAACTTCAGCCTACTCGTCTGCCCCAGACCTGATGGCTTCTGCCACCAGTTGAAACATTAAAGAGAAATAAGGCAATTTCTGAGACATAGGGTTCAGCAGAGCCAGGTCATGGGATGAGTTGGTTTGGCAGGCTCATGTAGGGTGAGACAGGAGGGCAAGTAGGAAAGTTCCCTGGGGCCTATTGTACTGGGATTATCAGGTCAGTCGGGTGGGGGTCAGGTGTAAGTTCCTTTTCTATTCTCCCCATTTTCCCTTCCTGCCTTCCCTCCAGCTGAAGCCTGAGCTTCTGAATGACCAAAACTCCCAATTTACCACAGACATCTCCCTACACACAAGTGGCAGGAAGGTGGGTAGGTGAACAGCTGTAGATAGGGGAGTACCTGGGGTTTATTCTCCATGTCCTTCATTCCAGACTCTGAAAGAGGTATGATTAGTTGGGGCAATGTCATCATATCTACCTACTTCCTGCTGAGAAGAAAAATTACCTTTCAGGATACTGGAAGAGGATATAGAGCCGAGCCTCTGGCGTTGGGCTGAAGAGGGGTGTATATGGAAGAGGCTTTGGGGTCACCACAGGCAATCTTTTCCCATGGTGGTTTCTAGGAATCCAATTGTGAATGCAGGAGTATAATGGCTTTTTAAAAAAAATTATAGATGGATATAATATCTTTATTTAAATAGTTTTTTTTTATTATTTTTATGTGGTGCTGAGGATCAAACCCAGTGCCTCACATGTGCCAGGCAAGTACTCTGCCTCTAAGCCACAACCCTAACCCAGGATAATGGCATTAATGTGTCCCTGGGAAGCAGATGGAGCCAAACAGGTCCCTTTACTAAGAAGTTGTCTCTGTGTGAATTTAAGGATACAGGGAAGAAAGGTTATTAGGAAGATGAATATTAAAGAAGATATAAGAGAGAATAACCAAGAAATCCACCATGTTAGATCCCCCAATGAGGACCACCAGGAATCTGCCAGTTCTCACCTCCATTGTTCCAACTGGCCCTGTAGTTATTTAACCTTATCCTTACCAGTCCTGATTGACTGATATTGAAGCAACATCCCAAGGAAGAGACAGAAGCCACCTTGTTTGACAGTAAAGAGATTTAGTCCTGGACAATTTTGTAGGACAACAGACACCAAAGAATCCAATTGATTTTGTAAAGTCAGTACTGAATTGGCAACCTGATGGATATCCTCAATAACCTGTTGTGACATTTTTTAAAGAAATGAATAGACATTCCTAATCCCACTGCTCCCGTGTCAATTTTGGCAGATATCTCCAGGCTTTGAGTAAGGAAATAAACTGAAGGGCTCTCTTGTGTCTGGTGTGTACATTATCAGGATAGGCAACTTTTGGTTGTTAGCTAAAACATCAGTTTGAGGAGTAAGAAAAACTAAGGTGCAGAGGCCAGTCCAATTTTTGGTAGGCAGGGATAAATATGAGCCTTGAAAAGGAAAAAAATGCCTCAGAATTTGGGGGCAACAGGACTGTGGGGCTGACACAAGTGTCTATCTTAATTTCTGTTAAAAGAACTGTTTGCTGGGTGTAGTGGTGCATGCCTGTAATCCCAGTGGCTGGGAGGCTGAGGCAGGAGGATCATAAGTTCAAAGCCAGCATCAGCAAAAGTAAGGCACTAAGCAACTGAGTGAGACCCTGGCTGTAAATAAAATACAAAATAGGGCTGGGGATGTGGCTCAGTGATCGATTGAGTGCCCCTGAATTCAATCCCCAATACCCTCCCGCCAAAAAAAAAAAAAAAATTGTCCTTTCTTTTAAATGCTGGTATGGCTGTACTTTGGTTATAACTGGTTTTGCTAGGTGTTCAAGATCAAGCTGGTCAATTTGACCTTGTTTCTGTCTATTGTTAAGAATCTGCTAAGTTATCTCAGGAGTTTATTCTTGTGGAACTTGAGAGCAGCCTTTTAGCTTTTTTAGTGGCTATCTGCCAGGATGGGTCAGAGTCTTACTGACCATGTGGCCTCCTTTGGAAGCATCAGGGATGTCTCTCTTCTCCAATGACCCTCCTCTTTTGCAGCATGTGCACTGGTCAGCTTTCTGTTCTCCAGGGTCTCATGGATCACCCTGATTGGGAGGTCATGTGACCCAGAGTTGCAAAGCCCTTAGAGAAGTTTCTTTGTTCCCTTGATTCAAGCTGACTCAGAGGGCAAGAGCCAAATATTGGCTATTTTTTCTTGATCTTTAATTTCCTTAATTTTAATCTCTAAGCTTTGATCTTAAACATCCAGCAAGCCAGTTTCACCAGTCTTAAAGTAAGAGTACTGGGTTTAAAATTTAATGCCTATAACTTTACAGTCATTTACCTATTTTATTTAATTGGGGTCAGTATTAGTACTGGAAGTTATCCTTACATCGTGTCTGTCTATAGATGATGGCCTACTACTTCAAATTAACTCAGGTTATTATATCTAAAGTTGTACTTCTGTAAGGCACTAACAGTAACAGTTAAAGTTTACAAGGAAATTACAAAATGAAATTTACAAGAATAAAAACGTTTTTAATTTGTATCTTATCTATGAACCAAGAAACATAATTTTACAATCCCAAACCTTTACTTTAAACTTTAGTTTGAAGAATACCAGCTTGGTAAAATGCTCTTTAAAACCTTATACTTTAAAGACTTGAATACTTGGAAGATATGAATACGACAATACCACAATTATACTGATGTTTTTATATTAACCAAGTTTAGCTTTTAAAGAAAAATTCAGAATCTGTAATGTAATATGATACTCTAAAATAACATCTGTTATTTAATCAGAGTTGTACAAACTCTAATTCCTTTATGACCAGTTGCTTTAAAGAATAAAATTTAACAAACACAAGCGATTACCTTGATAAGAGCAAATTAATGTTCTAAGAAATCTTTGTTACTTTAGCCCATGGAGGACTAAATTTTGGTTTATACCAGTATATTAATATTTTACCTTAGAGAAAAAACTTGAATAGCTTTAACTAATTATGTTAATTATATTTAACCAACTTAGTTAAACACACACTATTGAAATTTACCCTTCACAAACCCTTTTGCAACTTGCTTAGACATTTTACAACTTTTTACTTTACCACACAAAGACTTTTCACTAGAAACATTTCTTTTTTCTTGCACTTTTTATACTAAAATAGATTTCTCTATCTAGAACATCTTGGTTTTTTTCCTCACTGTTGATCCTTTTCTTAATTCACACTCTAAAGCAACCCATATAAACTTCTGAATTTAGACAAATTATTTCACTTTATTAAGGTGAAATACTTTGTTTTTATGGTACTTTCATTGAAGCCCATTTGAAACCTCTTATACTTTGCATGTAAATTACACCTGATAGAATCTTAATTCTTAGTAACCTTGTCTTCAGTGAAGACACAAAGCAATCTTAAACCTTTTTTCACTTACCAATTTATGAAAACACTAATTCAAGAAGTCAAGAGTACTTGATTTTATATTTAGCAGTTAACATTTTAACTTTGTAAAGTAATCAGATGTTTCTGATAAGCACATTTATGATTAATACCATTTATGTCAAATCTAATTTACTTATTTTTTACTGTAAATACCAAGATACCAAGTGTAGCTAACAGTACTAGCCATTTCTTCCTTGTTGAAGAAAAATTCTAGAAACAATGAATATTACATTCTAGACATTTTGTAGAAACCAACAATCTATTAATTGTCTGACCACCTAGAAAAACATTTGAGCTAGTAATTTTAAAGACATATTTACTCTTATTTATTTCCCGGATTTAAATTGAACTTTTTTACATCATGTGAACTAAAAGGTATTTGGATCCATTTTTTATTTAAATTTGTTTATGAATGTTCATTTATATGCCAATTTTGATACCATGTACATGATATATGGATACAAATCCATGTGAAGACACAACAACACAATACACAAGTATGTACACATACACAAAACAAACAAGAAACAAAAACCTTGTAGCTTTTTGTACGTTGATCTCCACTGTAATGCTACAGATGTTTCCTTAAAGCCTCTATTAGATTTATTCCCAGCATCACCATGTCTATGTCCTACTAAGGATCTTGTAAAAGGACATTTTCCCAGTGTAGATGAGAGCTAACCCTTGAAGATTGGCCTCTGAACAACAACAGAGTGTAAGAACTGCTATAGTTGGATAAAATAATAATGATCAGAAAAACATTAATTTAGGCACACAGAATCATATGTGAATTCATCATAAAACCATGAGCTCAAAAATATAGTACTAAAAAAAGAAAAACCAAGTGTCCTAGAAAAAAAAAAAAAAACAGCACGGCTGTAATTAGTAAAGGAGCATGCAGAACATCTTTATCAGATCAGGGTTTACTTTTGACTTAGTAGAGTGAATTCAGACATTGAAAGAATAAGGTAGAGCTCTTAAAAAATTAGGTAAAGATTCTCAAGGTAAAGAAGACTTGATCCTTTCTTTCTTTCTTTCTTTCTTTCTTTCTTTCTTTCTTTTTTTAAGAGGCATATTTTTTCACCCTCTGATCTCAAATACTGTAAGATCAGCAGGCCTCTGCAATTTGCATTTCAATGCAAGCCTTGGTGAGATAGAGATCTGGCAGGAGCCAAGGGAATCTACTGGTTGAGCTACTCCTCATGCCTAAGGCATTTTAACCATTTTTCCTTTTTAAAATCAGTCTCTTAAGGTGTGGTCCTATAATTTATGTTTCCTCCTGAGATCAGTTTTATTCCCCAGGTGATAATCAGGCAAGGTTTGGGTGTGTGTGTGGGGGGGGTCTTTTAGTTGTATTTGAATAGAGGGATGGTGTTAAGCAATTTTGGGTGGACAGGTATCCCAGACTGTGGGTTCAATCCCAGCAAGTAAGGAATTATCAGGAGGCTTAAGACCTGGCGCTGAGACCAGGTCCAGGCTGGAATGTATTAAAAAAAAAAAAAAAAAGTCATAGAAAAGGGAACATAAATTTGAACAATCCCTTCAGCCCCTGCCACCCCCCAGAAAGGGACATGTGTTTCATTGGAAGAGTTTTTAGATTGTGTAAGAGGAGGTGATAGCAAGGGGAGGGGGGGCGTTTGGGTGTGGGTTTTGAGGAGGGCGGGTGGGATGAGGGAGCAGAGGGACCCTGACGTCTTTAAGGAGAGTGTTCACCTGCCATTTTGGGAGCTATGAATGAGGAAGAGAGTTGTGGGTTAGTGAGGATTAGTTTTAGAGTAGAGCAGGGCTGGTATAATGAAGGCTAGAATGAAGGTAAAAGAAATCTTGGAAATTTCATTGGAGGAAATTATCCAAATCTTGGAGAATTTTTTGATCAAAGTTCCCGAACTCGGGCCATTGATGTAGGTTGTCTAATTTGAATTGTGGCCAGATTTGGGTATTCAGCTAATAAGGCATTTGCTTTTGAGGTCAGATTGGAAGTGGAGGATTTTGAGGTTTTTAAAAGACAATCTAAGGGGAAGTCCTGTGGGAGAGACTGGTTAGCCCCCATTAGGAGAGGTTTGACCTAGGTGGGGATTGAGATCAAAGCATCCTTTGATGTCTCCTGTCATTGGAGAGCAGTTCTACCAGAGAATGAGAGGGTGTCCCTTTTTACAATATCAATGGTGGAGGACCCCTGGGGTCCAGATGAGCCAAAAGGCCAGGGGAGGGTTCCTCTGCAAAAGACTGGAGGGGCTCTTACCTTTCTGAAGAATGAGAAGGCCAGTGTTGCATGCAGGAACAAAATGGCAGAAAGTGGCCTCTGATCCAAAGGTCTTAAATACAGGGAAGAGGTATAGGTACAGTGAGGGATTGGAGAGGGGAGGGTTAGAAGGAGGAGTCTGGGAATTCAGCCATAGCCAAATGAGCCATGGCTGGGGGCTTCCCCAACCTCAGAGAACCACAGGAATGCCAATGGTCACTTCCCAGGTCTCATCGTCCATTTAATATGACTGTTGGGCGAAAAGGCAAAGGGGGCAGCAGGGAAAGGGAGGTTTGTTGGAATAAGGAGGGGTAAAAAGAACCCCTGAAACTCCCATTTCTAGGTTTCAGCACCATAACAAAAGCAAAAATAACTGAAACAGGAACAGTCCTCCACAAATCAGTGATGCTTTTATTAAGCAGCAGAGGGGTACCTTTTCCGGAAAGAAAATGGTGACCGTCTACAAGGGCCCAAGTTTTGTAGGGTTCAGCAGAGCCAGGTCATGGGATGAGTTGGTTTGGCAGGCTCATGTAGGGTGGGACAGGAGGGCAAGTAGGGGAGTTCCCTGGGGCCTGTTGTACTGGGGTCATCAGTTTAGCCAGGTGGGAGTCAGGTATAAGTTCCTTTTGTGTTCTCCCCATTTTCTCTTCCTGCCTTCCCTCTTGCTGAGGCCTGAGCTTCTGAATGACAAAAGCTCCAATTTACCAAAGACATGTCCCTACATACTAGTGGCAGGAAGGTGGGTAGGGGAACAGCTGTAGATAGGGGAGTGCCTGGAGTTTATTCTCCATGTCCTTCAGTGAGATTTTCTATCACCACGCCACCTGGAAACTAATCAATTCCATTTTTTGTAATTTTACATCTGTGTGGGTGTGTGGTTCTGGGAATTGAATCCAGGTGCACTCTACCACTGAGCTAAGCCCACAACCCTTTTTACTTCTTATTTGGAGATAGGATCTTGCTGAGTTGCCCAGTCTGACCTCAAACTGTGATCCTCCTGCTTCAGCCTCCAGAGTACCTTGAATTATAGGCATGTGCCACTGCACCCAGCAATATATACTCTTTTTAGTTTTTTTCTCTTCTCAATCACTCACTCTTACTACTGTGGTCCCCCATGGAACTCATACTGTGGAACAAATTATTCCTTGTGTCTTCTAGTGTTACCTTTAATACAGTAAAAACTCATTAATTCAAACTTTATTAATTTGGGATTTGGAATGTAATGCAGGAGATGACTTTTGCCCTTTCTAAAAAGAAAAATGCTGTGAACTATCATTTTTATAAATTCATTTGACCCACTTACAAGAAATGTGCAAGGACTTTGGCATCTTTTTAATGGACAAATGATAGTGCTAATTAATCTTTGATATTCATTAACATCTCTACCCAAAAATAAGAATCAATTTGCTAGGAACTCTATTAGAATAGACATATTAGAATAATAATTTTCATGCCAGCAATACACACACAAAAAAAATTAATAATAATCATTTGATAAAGATGCCAGATAGAGCTATTTATATTATTAATTCATATATGGTCCTTCCTCCAGTGAGCCGAAAAAGCAAACTTCTGATTTTTTTTCCTCTTTCTGAAATTAGGCATGACCTTGGTAAGACACAGGAGTTAATGCACTGGGGTGTGAGGTTATATAAAAACACTCACTGTAACAATGATGCTTTTTTGTCTAAATCCTATCATTTTACAACCCTCATCAGGCATATTCATAGAGCAGTTCACATAGCTGTGGGACCCATCTTGAAAACCAAGGACCCCTTTAGGGATCTTATTGTTCCTGGAAGGTTCTTTCATCAAACCTGGCCGGGAGACAATATCTTCACTTGAATTGGCATGTTCTTGGAAAGAACAAAATACAGATTCATATAAAAATCATTATTAAAGTCTGATTCATTTTTTAAATTGTGTATTTTCTTAATCAGTAGATTAAAAAAATTGTCACCATGTGGAGAGATGAGACCTCAGTTTACAAAGTGAAAAATGGGGGGCTAGGCTGGGAAGAGAGAAGCTGAAAATGTTGGAAATATTGTCCTAGGAATCAGTCAGGTGTCTTTTCTCCCTTTAGAAGCTACATAGTATCCCTCTTTCTGAGAAAATATAAAATGGCGTTAATGTGTCAAAAAGTGCAGGAAATGTGAAAAATGCCAATAATTGATATTTCAGCAAACCTCAACCTTTTTTGTCTTTCCATTTCATTCCAGACCCAAGATCCCATCCATTGCCACTGGGATTGTGGGTGGCCTCTTCTTGCTGGTGATAGTGGCCCTTGGGATTGGCCTTTTCATGAGAAGGCGCCACATTGTCAGGAAGCGCACGCTGCGTCGACTGCTGCAGGAGAGAGAGGTGAGTGCAGGAGCCTGGCTCCCTTGGGACCAGAAGCACCATTAGGAACCAACACTGCTCTAGAGAGAAAAGAGAATCTTTGTTTGAGAACTTGTAACTTGCAATTTTGTATTTTGGTTGTTGTTTCAGTCAGTTTTCTATCACTATAACAAATACCTGAGATAATCAACTTAAAAAGAAAAAAGGTTTATTTTGACTCACATTTGTGGAGCTTTCAGTCCATGATCAGTTGGCCCCATTGTTTTGGGCTTATGTTAGCACATCATGGTAGAAGCAAGTGGCAGAATAAAATCACTCACCTCGTGTCAGGAAGTGAAAAGGAGAGAAAGAAGAGACCAGGGTCCCACTGTCTCCTTCTTCTAATACATACCCCCAGTGACACATAGATCTCCCATTAAACTTCATCTTCTAAAAGTCTCACCACCTCCCAACAGTGCCATGGGCCAGAGAACAAGCCTTCAACACCTGGACCTTTGGAAACACTTCTCCAAACAACAGCAAATATATAATTATATTATTATGAATTATTTGTTATAATGGAAGAATGAGAAAAAAAAATTCTTAGGTATCCAGTTCTACTCAGTTACATTTTGTTACCTCTAGACAATGAAATGTAAATATTTCTGGGTTAAGTCCTATGAAATGCTTACAAAGCTGAGTAGAGGCCCAAGATGCAGCACCTCTGCATATATATAGGAGGAGGCTTGGCAAGAGATGACTACTTGTAAACAAGCCACCGTGGTCAGATAAGATATCACTCTGGAAAAGGCCACCATCCACACCAGTGGCTGCTACTTTAAGCTCTGTTTGAGATTGGTGTGATCCTTCACACAGCCTGAAGCTGGCATCTGTGTCCAGCACTGTAGTAAAAGCCAGTTCCCCTCATAAGCATAATGGTATTTTGTGTTGGGGACCCACAAATGACAAAAATGACCACCATATACAAATTTTCCTCACCAGTTTTTCAGTCTAGCTAGTTGGTGTGAAAACAGAAATAGAAATTGCATTTGTTGAATGTGGATATATCAGAGAAGCTCTGTTCCTATGGTGTTTTATCAAGTTCTTTAAAGAAAGTGTCCATTTGTCCTTTTGAACAAGCAGGGTGAGTGCTCTGTACTAAAAGGTGACCACGTGTTTTTGGATTCTGGCTGCTCGTGCTCTGGACCCATCTAGCACCCACATTGCTGTTGGTGTGGTGCCTTGAACTAGCATCTTAGATCTGTTCCCTTCTCTTTCACAGCTTGTGGAGCCTCTGACGCCCAGTGGAGAAGCCCCCAACCAAGCTCTCCTGAGGATCTTAAAGGAAACAGAATTCAAAAAGATAAAAGTGCTGGGCTCAGGAGCATTCGGCACTGTGTATAAGGTAATAACAACCATGGGGAGAAGTAAAACCCCGGGGCGCACCATGACCCAGTCAGTGACAAGTCCTCAGTGTGTCACTGATTTTCATCATCTCTTCTCTTTGATTGGCTGAGGGCTTGGGAAACTCCAATGTTTTTCCAAGTCATTGAGAGGAAATCTGTTATAGCCACAATGCAAATAAGTGGTCTTTGGGGGCCAAAAGCATTGTTAAAGATGGTATTGACCTTTCGAGGGGAGTGTGGCACAGGCAGGAGGCCATAGCAGGTGAATACAGAAGGGGAGCTGCCTGTCATTGCATTAAACATCAAAATAAAGCCCAGGTCAGAACAGGATCTTCCTAATATGCTTCATTCCTTTTCCTGTTTGCTTAAAATCTGGTTTTAGTTAGGCCTAGATTCAAAGCATCTTAGAATTCTGGACTAAGTGATCCACACTGACTTCACAACTGGCCCAAGCAGGTTTTGTACTCTGATTCATGCACCTGATAGCTAAAGACATGCTTAGAAGTCACAGTTGGCCTTGCAGTGCAGAGCTGTGGCTCCACTTAGGATTGTCACTAATAAAATCCATCTAGCACACAAGACAACATATTACACAGTGTGATAATCACCAATTAATGTCTTCTCTTGATCTCAGGGACTCTGGATTCCAGAAGGTGAGAAAGTTAAAATTCCGGTAGCAATCAAAGAATTAAGAGAAGCCACATCTCCAAAAGCCAACAAGGAAATTCTTGATGTAAGTATCTGCTTTGTTCTCTAGTTGTCCACAGGATGGACATCAGAAGCCGCCTTTTCTGGTGTCAGCATCAGGTTGCTTTATTCTAAGTGTTTACTTTCGTATCTTTTTCCTCCTAGCCATAGTGCATTTATTTCCCTCCTCTTATGGAAAAGATTCTTCCATTATGTTATCCAGAGATGGCTTGGAATCTCAGGAGCCTGTTGATACTAGTTTCTTTACATACATTATCATAGTAAATACTCATGATGAGCCTATGACATAGGTATTATGTTCAATATTTTTTGGATAAAAAAAAATGGTGCTATAAAGAAACTCACCCAGCTTCTAATGGCTGGGATAGGCGTAAAACCCTTCATGATTTTTTAAAATATATTCTTTAGTTGTAGATGGACACAATATCCTTATTTTGTGTATTTTTATGTGGTGCTGAGGATTGAACCCAATGCCTCACACATGCTAGGCAAGCATTCTGCCCCTGAGCTATAATTTCAACCCCAAACCTTCATGATTTCTGACTCTGAAACTCATGTTCAGTTTGCTTTTCTGAAGTATCTTATCTTTAAAATGGCTTTTATTGATGGTGCCTAAGATTCACAATATAATTCCTTCTTCATGAACTGTTGACCACATTCTGTACTTTCTCACAAGGAAGAGGCTAGCTGAAAGGGGTCAGCCTGAAGTAGGACAGAGCCCTCTTCAGTATTGGCCTGGCTTATTATGAGTTATTGGAAGCTCCTGCTCTTGTTCTGAGACACACACACAGCACGTGAAATAGGAGATATGGAGGGCCTACCCAGTAGGTTGGAAAACAGAGTCAAAGAAAAGGAAAAATGTCTGCCTCTTGCCGCAGAAATTTAGACAATTTAGCGATCTTACAGCCGAAGACAAAAGCCATATAGTATTATCTTCAACTTACAGATCTATAATAAGTGAGGCAAATAAGCCTTTTAAAATTGTGCTTAGATGTGATGCATTTTCCAGTGGCAAAACCCTCTGCCCTTTAATTTTCTCTGGGCAGCTTTCTCTCCTTTTTTTCTAGTGGGGAAACGCCACATTGGTACAGTCCTAAATGAAAGATGATATATTAATACAATGCAATAGAAAATCTTACATGTGGATGACAAACTTATCAAGCAAAATTATCTTTCATTTTAATGGTTTACAAATCAGTGTCGAGTCCTGTTAATGTGATGTCAAGTTTTGTTAACCACAAAAAATGAATAAGCAGACAAGGATTTGTGAAGTCTTTTCACTTAAAACCTCTAACCCTTAACCTCTACTGTTAAAAAGAGTACCTTTTGCCAAATTTGCTTCCTTTATTAATTTTCTGCTCATTCAAGACATTCTAATAAACAACCCAGAACATACATTTCAACAATATTTATAAGGTAGAATAAGGAAAGCTCAAAAGTATTCTAAACAATAGCTATGCTTTGGGAAGGAAGTAGTTTTCACTGAAAATTCTCTCCCTTCTCCCAGGTCCTTTTAATGAAGGAAATCTGTGTTTCTGTGGGTGGAGATGGGGTAGATGAGGGATAAAGGAAAGGTTTAAAAATTCGGTGCACCTGATATCTGAAGGTCCTATTTTGCCTCATGCTCATCCTTTCACCTGGTCTCCTCCCCCGCCCCCCATTATTTTTATTTCCTTCCCCCACTTTGTTTTTTCATTCTCGTCATCTTTGGTCTTCTCTTCAAATATCAGATGTTATGACTATGGCACTGGATGATAAACTTGAGGCTTTCTCATTTGCTTGTCCTAAGGCTCAATCTCCTGGGCGCTCCCACATTTTCCTGGCAGTGTGGAGTCATGTGTTGGCGCTGGAAAGCACCCTCTGGAAATCAGGAACGTTGAAGGAGGTGATTTCTGCTAAAAGAAACAAAGCCAGAGATTCTAAGGCCAATTTCAACAGTGTGCTAAATAGCACATTAATTCTGTGACAGGATAGCCTATGGGCCAAGTATTTTTTATTTTTAAATACTGGTTGTACTCATACATGGTTCCAAAGACCCAGTAATCTGTGGTCCACCATGGGCCACAGCCACTGTTTTACATGGCTGTCAGTGGCTTAATTAACTGTGAAAGTTTTTAAATATGGGGGGACCCCTATTCTTCACTCATAAAATTAGACATAGACCTCTTCTTAGGAGTTTAGAATCTAGTGGAATTCTTTTCCTTATTCATAATGTAAAACAGTTCAAAAATGAAGGAGAGCCAGGTGTAGTGGTGCACACCTGTAACCCAGCAACGGGGGGTGGGAGAGGGGCTGAGGCAAGAGGATCATGAGTTCAAAGCCAGCCTCAGCAACTTAGGCACTGAGCAACATGGCAAGACCCCATCTCAAAGTAAAAAATTACAAGGGCTTGGGATGTGGCTCAGTTGATAAGTACCCCTGAGTTCAATCCCTGCTGCCAAAAAAAGAAAAAAGAAAAATAAATGTTGATAGGCAGCAAAGAAGGCCCAATAATCATTGCCAGCAATAAGGACAAACATAATAGATTCTTAAGGTCACGAAAACCTCAGGGACAACCCAGTGGTAGGACTTGGACAGCAGCCACCAGGGTCTCCAAGTGTGAGCTCTGCCTGCCTGGGTGGCTTGTGCCGAGATTGTTGTGGAATACCAAGCATATTTGGTGTAGGTCACGGTGCACCTTCACGATTTCCAAGATAAACAGTAAAGAACAAAGCTCACTTTAACTTCTGCACATGCTGAGCGGGGGCCCACAACAACAGTGTTCCCATTGTGCCCTGGGGAGGCGGGGCAGGAAGTGACGACTCAGCTCTGTTGGTCTATCAGGTTTTAGTAGGACCAGGACCTGGCAAGCCTCCAAACTCTGTGTGGCCTGACACCCACGCCCCCTGCTCTGTTCCCAGTTCCTGGTTCCAGATCAGCCCCTTGCCGGCCCACAACAGATGGGCTGCTGAGAGTGCTCCATTTTGCAGATTTTTCTCCCCTTTAAAATGAATACAATATGTACTCAAATCTCAACCAGATCTTGAGAAAATAGGAACCTCCAGAGGATTTCTTTGGTGTTATGGTTGTAAAGCTTCCCAGACTCCGGGGAGAGATGTGATTTGTGCTTTTATGTCAATCCCATGGCTTATTAATTTTTCCATAGACTTTTCAGTTTAAATTTAGGGTAGGCAATGGAAAAGGAATGCAAAACAGATTTATATATGGGTTTCACATGTGTGTGTGCACACACGTGTGCCACCTAAAGCTTTCAGGCAGCCCATAAAACAGAGCATCTGAAAGACATCATCATTTGCTTCCACATGCAAAGAGAGGCCCTAGGAGCACCTGGTGCTACACATGTGCTGAGCAGGTGGACCATGGAGAGAAGCCCACTGGCCCAGGGGTTAGGAGACCCAGATGTGGGCCCATTCCTGACACTAAGAAGTAGTATACCCTCAGGTCGGCCATTCATTTCCCTAGGCCTCAGTCTCTTCTGACAATATTGACCTCAAACACAATGCACTTGCTGGCCCCATTCAATTCTCTGACTTTTGCAAGCATTTTTTCAAGATTAAGGATATTTTCAATGACCCCAGAGTCAACAGGTATTAAATATCTACTCTGCTCTTTAATGTTGTAATATTGTTTTTATAATAGAAAAGATTCATATCCTGCTTAAAAATTAAATTATGTTTATAATAGAAAAATGCATATCTTGCTTGAAAATAGAGACCATAAACAATCAAGAAAGTATCTCCTATTTGTTAGGGGATGGGTTTTGAGGCAACAAATAAGGAAACATTTGCTGGTGTGATCTAGTACTATCGAGTGCCAGCTATACTCTAAGCATATGCTGCTAAGTATGAGAATGTAGTCCATCTCTTGAAAACTTGGTGGGGGAAGGACCTGTTTTAAATTACACAGATAAGTATAGATTAAGATGTGTGCTCCAAAGCAGTGGCTCTGCAGCTTCATCAAGAATCTCCCAAGGGCTTATTCAAAGAAATGGCATCTCGCTTCTAGGCCTAAGGGGAGCTGCAAGAATTTACCTCTTACAAGTTCTCAGGCAATGCTGGGACTGCTTTCCCGAAAAAAAAAAAAAAAGAAAAAAAAAACCTGCAAGATGCCAGGGAAGTTTTAATGGGGAGTCACTGAGACTCCTGAGAAGATCAGGAGGGCCTTTGGGGCCAGAGGCTCTCCAGTGGAAGAGGCCTGAGGGGAGAGCAGGCAGCAAGAGTTTCCAAGAATGGTGAGGACCCAGGGAAGGGTTCAAGGCAAGAAAAGTGCTGTGATCATATTTGTGTTTAAATACATATACAGGGGCTGTGGATATGTAGGTCAGTGATTGAGCATGTACCTAGCATATGCATGCCCCTAGGTTTCATCCCTAGTACCACAAAGTATAGATAGATAGATAGACATATAGACATGCATATTTTCATACACACACATATATAATAAATAAATCTAAATTTGCACACAAATATACACACATATGCCCTCTCTCTACCATCCTCACCATGACTGTCTTCTGTCTTCAACCCTATGTTCCAGCCTCCTTGCCCAGTTTATGCCACATACCTGAGCATCCCTGGCCTCACCTTGTCTCTTGGGCTACACTCTAAACACAGCAGTTGCTGAAATGTGGAAAGGAACCTCTGATCTCATTCTCTTGCAGTTCATGTTGTCTCTTTCACATCCAAATAAAAGGTCACCACCATTTGTATTTTAAAGGGAAAGAGAATTTATGGGTGGAAATTGAGGATTCCCTAGTTCTCAGTTAGACACAAGAAAGGATCCCATTGTGCACATGATTGCAAATAAATGAAGCTTTCTCAGCCTAAGAATAGCAGAAGGGTTAAAATAAAGTCTATATTCATGGATCTGTCAAAGTCTCCTGCCTTGGCAGTCAGCCTAAATGAATGGGGCAGGAACGGATGCATTATGCAGAGCAGCATGTTTTTCCCATCAGGAGACTAGGGTAAGACAATACAGACCACGTTCTTCAGAGTTGGATCTTGAGCAGCCAATAGAATCTATAGTCATCATAGATTGAATGTCCGTTTCAGAGGCTGGAGCTGGTACACAAAAAGATGTTTTCCAGTTACTCTTTGGAGAAGTGCTGTAGGCAGTGTTTCTATCCCAAATACCCTCCCATTGCTCAGTCAGGGCCAAGTTTGTTCTGTTGAAAAGAGTGGGCTTTTCTTGCTGGCTGGTTGCTGCGTCAATGACTTTCCTGAACATGCTTACCATCATGTCTCAGTAGTGCCTATGGTGAGAGCTTCTGATAACGTGAGCAAGTCATTGTCCACAGTGTCCTGGTCCCAAAACTCAGGCCCTGACAGCATCTTTATCCTTGAGTCAGAATCTTCCTAAGGAAGATTACAGCAGTTCCCAAACATGGGGACATTAGAGTGACCCAGGTCCCTTGTTCAACCAATGTTTTGCCAATGGGAATTGTTACCTGGGTTTCTCTGTCAAGTGGAATCCCTAGATACACACAAGAGGGTCCATCTCCCACAAAGTGTCTTGTCGTTTCACAGCTCTTAAAAAATGTCCCTTACAACAGTACATATTTTGAAAATCATGCTCATGCTTTTTTTTTTACATGGAAAAAGGGATCCATGTGTCTCTTCCTTTAGTCACTGTGAGGGAACCTTTCTGATGCCATCCTCTCTTGTTCCCTTACAGGAAGCCTATGTGATGGCCAGTGTGGACAATCCTCATGTGTGCCGCCTCTTGGGTATCTGTCTGACCTCCACCGTCCAGCTTATCACTCAACTCATGCCCTTTGGTTGCCTCCTGGACTATGTCCGAGAACACAAGGACAACATCGGTTCCCAGTACCTACTCAACTGGTGTGTGCAGATTGCAAAGGTAAATGGAGAAGGAGCCCTGAGAACACATAGAGCAGGTGTCTGTCTACCTTTGAAAAGGAGGGCAAATGTTTCTATTAAACAAGAAGTGCAGCTGTCTCAGCTTGTTGCACACTACTCTCATTTTTCAGGAGGAATGTTGATCATTAGTAAAAGCACCCAAGGAAAACAGCAAGTGGGGAAATAAGGATACTGAAAAATGAGGTATTTATTCTGCCATCCTGGGATAACTGAGCCAAGAGGATATGTGTATGTGTGTGCACTTGCAGGTTTTTCTTAGATTAAATTTAATGGATTGGCTTGTACACTGAATCAGTGCCATTGCCACCTGCATGTTGGAAATCTAGTCCTCCACGTGTGAACGGTTTTCTCCATTGAGTGTTCAATATGTTTGGTGTTTTTGTCCTTATTTTTCTGGAGCTCTTTTTGGTGAACACCGTGGTGCTTTGTAGTAGAAGAGTGTGGCTTTCCTCTGTCAGGATTTGATAACCAGGTAAGTAAACCAGGCTGAGGCCAGAAGGAGGACTTGGAACGCTGGTGTGTCTGTGTGGGCAGGGCAAGTGTTATGGCACAAGGCCTGATTTACAAGTCTGAGGAGGCTGGTGGAAGAGAGCAGGTCCTCCTACTACATGGAATAGGCTCCTTCAATGTCCTCCTATTGACAGGCTTGCTGCAAAGTCACAGAGGGGATGTGAAAGCACACAGTGGCCACGTGGCCCTACCTATTTGCTGTGGTCAGGCAATAAGCCAGGTATTGAGCTGTTCACAGTTCACCAAAGGACTCCTAATTTTATCTCAAACTTCTCTCATCTCCATCTCAGCCCTACAAAAGTTACTTGCACCCAAAGTGCTAAATCCTATTTTTTAATGATAATGGATGTACATTTTACACAAATGAATTTAAAGAATTTGTGGGCAGGGCCTGTCCCTGAGTATGTGACATACCCCTACCTCCCACAGACAGCAGGGCAGGGTGTTTAGGGAATTGTCAGGGACCCCTGAACAGGGGTACGGTGTGTCACCAGGCCAGGGCTATTTCTCACAGCGCCCCTGGTCAGTGGTAGCAGTTGTTCCTGCCAGCTTACTTGTGAGAGTGCCCTGAACTTGCCTCACCCAATTCTCAGCAGTTGTAAAAAAAATAACACAAAACAAACAAAAGCACATTCTGGGCACACCTTTTCTGGCAGCTGCCCATAATACCACAAGACTGGCACAGGGTGAGGCTGGCTCCCTCCTGGAACTGAGGCTCTGGGCTGTGCTGGGGAAATGGGAGGCTTCCACCCCGGATAGCCAGACAGCAGTACATCCTTCTTTGTTCCTATACTGTGGGGTGGTGATTCTCAGCCACAGCCCCAACAGGCTCCCAGTGTGCCAGGGAAGTGAGAAATACTTGGTCCTCTATGACCAAGATCATCAAGTGTTTTTGCCATTGTCATTTTCAAAGTCACAGAGGAGTTATATCATCCTTATTAGACAATAGTCCAGGAGTAGGGTTGCTGGGCTTTCTTGTATTTGTGAAATGCTTGTTAGTTCTGTGTCATTGGATGAAGTTGTTGAGGATGCCATGACAAATTACCACAAATTTGGTGGCTGATCACGACAGAAACTTACTCTTGTATGGTTCTGGAAGCCATAAGTCCAAGATCAAGTTGTCTGAAGATCCCTGATCTCCCAAGGTGCTAGGGGAGGCTCCCTTCTTGCTAGTCCCAGGTTCTGGTGCCACTGCATTTCCTTGGCTTATGACAACATCACTTCAGTCTCTGCCTCTGTCTTCACATGGCCTTATTTCCTACATCTCTACGTCCAAATTCTCCTCTTCTTTCTCATGGATACCAGTCACTGAACTTGAAAATTCTATGAGAGAATATCTTAAATAGTCTCAAAAAACATATGTGAGATGAAGGATATATTAAGTAGCATTATTTAGTCACTTCACATATCAAAACATAACGGTATACCCCATAAATATATATATTTATTAGTCATTGGATTTAGAGACCACCCTAAGTCTGGGATGATTCCATCTTAATATCTTTAATTAGATCTCAGAAGCCCATGTCCAAATAAGATCACATTCTGTGGTTCTGGGTCAACATGAAATGGGGGGGGGGGGGGTCTATTCAACCTATTATAGTTGCTGATCTGGGGAGGAGGTGATTAACCCAAAGTATGTTTCACTGGGTATAGAATTATTTCTGGGAGTCTTCTCAAGTGCTTACTCCTGGACCCAGAAATTCTTCCTTAAGCTTTCCTCACTGATTAGATAAGGTAGGACATTGAAACTGTTGTGCTCCCTTCCCAGGAAATCTCTGTTACATTGTTTTATATTCTTCTTAGCACAAATCCTGCCTGAGAAGATCTGGTTTAATCTTTTAAGTTTGTGCCCAGCTGCTCCAACTGTGAGGTGAGCCCTGGCTGTGTCTCCTAGCTTGGGCAGGGCCAACAGAACCCTGCACCCTTGGGGCCAGCTCCTTCTGAATGATTCCTAATGCCCATGTCACCAGGGTGTGCCAGGAGATTTAGCATAAATTCTTTAATTATCTCAAACTAATTCCCACCTCCACCAAAGTGACTCTTCCTGGAGCTGAGGGTGTAGCATAGTGGAGGAGCACTTGCTTGCCTAGCATGTGCAAGGCCCTAGGTTCTATCCCCAATACTGGGGGTGAGAGTGGACTTTTTATGTGATGGAGAAGTGACCCTATCTTCAGTGTGAATTGCCGATGTCACCCTTTTACCTTAAAGGGCAAACAGTCTCAGTAGGTTTTCCCAGTAAAGAACAAGGCTTAAAATTTCAGTGGACTCTAATATCAAATCTTGATTTTAGCATTCATGAGCCTCGTGAGCCAGGCAAATCACTTAGTCTTTTTTGCACTCAGTCCCTTTGGCTACACGATGGTATTCTGCCACCTCTATTTCTGGGTAGAAGGATGAGAATAGAGAGTCTCTGTGAATCACCTGCCACAGGTTTGGATACACCTTTGATACTCAATAAATGTTCCTTTCCTCCTTCAGTTTCCCGTAACTAAAGTAGGTTGGTGTCGAGGTTAAATTCTAATCTAATATGTTGTCTTATGCTAGGTCCACATCAACTTTCATTTTATTTTAGAATAGCATCTTCTGCTCTGCATCTTTTATTATTCATGAGCTTTTTCCCTCTTTTATTTGAAATATTACATTCCCATTTTCCTGACCACCAATGTCTGCAGAAATGGAAGTTTATTCAACCCCTAAAATCAGCTTTCTGCAAGCGTGATGACAAACATACTAATCCAACAGTGTCTAAGAGAGGTGGGTCCCATTCAAGCGTGGTTTACCAAGGATACTGAACTTGAGTTTCTAGAGCCTGAAACTTTGCTGAGATAGTTTTCTACATAATATTACTCAGAATTTCCACCTGATGTTTAAAGCCACTGTTGTACTTTGCTTAGCTTTATCTTAATTTGAAATCCTTCCCTGATTGGGGCCATTAGTTCTTCATGCGTGAAAGATTTGTTTTTTGATTCACAAGGGAAACCTTATTCTGCCATATTTGAATAGCCAGCATGGTGGAATATCTATCCCTGGAGGGAAAGAAAAGGAATGCTTTCCCAAATTATAAAGATTTGCTTTTGGATGACAATTTATCTGAGTCTTAAACAATTTTATTTTTATAAGTGTGAAGTGAAAACTACCCAGAAATACTTAGTGGCTGACCAGAAACTAAACTCCTGACATTTTCAAAGTGGAATTTATTGACTTGTAAATGTGCTGTGTTGATTCACAAAGGCATGAACTGTCTTGGGGAGTTTTCTAAATATTGATGGGAGAGCTGACCACTGTTATACAAGTTCATTGTCCTCACTAAACTGCTAAACTCCACTGGGCATAGGAAAAAGACAAAAACAGAGTTGCCATAGGGAAGAAATCAGATTAGTATTGGTGGACTGTAATAGAGCCTCCCCTTGCCATATGTGGTGAAAATGGATTCCATTCTCCACTCCTCCCGAAAAAAAAATCAGTCTCAAAGGCTTGTGGAGATGTCACCTGCTCATCCATCAGAAAGAGCAGATGTCTCAGCCTCCTGATTTATAAGCAGCTTTCACTCACTGGGAGTGAGTTAGTTGCTTAAGAAATTATGTCTATTCTCTCTAGGTGTATAAGCAACCTAGTAAACCTCCAAATATATTACAATCACATGGCAAAATAATGTCAAGAAATTTTCTAATCCAAAAATTGTATCCTGGGCTGGGGATGTGGCTCAAGCGGTAATGCGCTTGCTTGGCATGCACGGGGCGCTGGGTTCGATCCTCAGCACCACATAAAAATAAAATAAAGATGTTGTGTCCACCGAAAACTAAAAAATAAATATAAAAAAAATTCTCTCTCTCTTTCTCTCTCTCTCTCAAAAAAAAAAAAAGAAAAATTCTATCCTCAATTCAGTTTGGCAAACACCATTACTGTAACACACCTTTCCCTGTAGAGCCCTACAGTATGCATTTTTATTGCAAAGTCCTACAAAAATAAAACTGTTTAGACTAGCATTTTCCCAAACTCTTTTTGACAACAGAGCTATTCTATTCATCCAGATTAAGATCTCAGAGAATTGAGTTTTCAAACATGGATCTGATGCTACATTACCACAAATGATATCAGTTTAAGGTCTTTGAGACCAGCCCCTGATGAAATATGAAAGAAGGCTGGGTAGGGGGTGCGAAGGAGATGCTCGGAAAGAAACTGATTTATGAGTGTCATTCTCTGACTAGAACTTTGTATAAATACCAAATTGCATTTAGTTCAATTTATGAGGTTAAAACTTAACAGAGATTTCTAAAAATTCAGTTCAAAGGATCCATTTTACAAGTATGGAAGATACTTAATTTGGTCCCTTTCAAAAAGCCCCAGGTATTTTCACTGATTACCCATTGACATGTGAGTTGCTAAGAAGATAGCAGATGAGCATGGGCTGAGTCAGTGGTGGGTCCTCACATCCCAACAAGGAGATGAAAGGTGATTCCACTTTGA